CATTTTTTAGATACTCACGTCTAGTACATAATTGTGAACGCTAGTTTCTTTTAATTGTCTTAATTGTCTTTTAATTGGTTATAGTGACAGGTGTCAAATTCTTAAGGGTATCACAATAGCCAGATTCACCAAAATATTGAATCATTGCAACCTGTTGAAGATGCACAACATAAATGCTTGGAACAACTTGAACGGCGTCAAGAGATCAGCACAGCAATGAAAATAGCTATTCTTCAAGATCTGCAGCAACTACTTCATGTCTTCGGACGGTCCCAGTAACCTAACTTAACCTAATCTACTCGATAATCATTCCGACGTTTTCTATTTTTTAGATACTCACGTCTAGTACATAATTGTGAACGTCAATTTCTTTTAATTGTCTGACAATAAATAAAATTTACTATATGGTATATTTAGTTCAGTATTTTGAACTTCTTGCATAACTACACGTTATAATTACAATAACTTATGATATCATTTTATTATAGTTGCAAAAATAATTTTATAATATAATCGATCAATCAATCAGCAAAATAACGTATTTGTGCAATTAGAAGCAAGATTAACATTGTAATATAATTTACAATTTAAAATCATTTTTCTTTTTTTTCCATAAATATATAAAAAGTAATGGGTCGTATTACGCAGACGATTAAATAATCGGTAATCACTACATTTGTTAAAATCGCCGACATCACTTGATCACCAACGTGACCACAATAGCACCAGTGAAAGGACTAACCTTTATCGTTAGTGCGTTTTAAATTTTATTTTAAGGCACAAATTTGAACAGAAGTTGCTAGTGAAATTACTTAGTGCTTGTGGATGCGCATTGGTTATTTATAATTTTTGTCAATAGTAAATAGTGGATAGTATTACAAAAAATATACGATGTGTACCGCGCAAAAAATCTGTTACTCTGGCTGCACAAATCCCAAAAACTGAAATGCCAATAGACAGGGTGATTGTAAGGTATAACTTTACAAAAAACTTCAAAACTGAACTTGGCAACAAAAAGGATTGGGAAGACTTGTCCAACACCCAAATAATAAAAGAAAACATGACAACATGGTATACAGACGGCTCCCTCACCAATGAACTAAAGCTAAAGCTGGTGTTTATGGACCAGACAAGAAATACTGGCAAGCACTGGAAAATAATGTAACTATCTTTCAAGCGGAAATATACGCGATAGATAGATGCGCCAGTTTAAACTTTGAACGTAACTACCAGAATCGTAAAATCGCAATACTAACTGACAGCCAGGCAGCTATAATGACACCCATATCCTACCAGGTATCATCTAAACTGATATGAGAGTGCATTGACAAGCTGAACATACTCGGCTGGAACAATCAGGTATACCTAATATAGATTCCGGGACATGCTGGTATCCAAGGCAATGAAGAGGCGCAACCCCAAGAATAATAAGCCCAGAACCATTCTATAGTCTAGGCAAAGGGACTCTATCTATTCTTATGAATGGTGCAGAGAAAAAGAAAAAGAAAGAGAACTCTATTTGGAAAGGATACCAGGACTCTCACAATCTAAAATGCTTCAAAGATTGCATATCATAATCAAAAAGCAACCTAAGAATTATTACAGGATTATTGACCGATCACTGTAGATTGAATAATCACCTATCGAAGTTAGGAATTCAATCTAACTCAGACTGCAGATACCGTAGAGAAGAGAGAGAAACTACATACCATGTGCTTGGGGAGTGCCCGGCACTGATGCACAAGCAGAAGAAACACCTAGGAGGTTATTTCATGGATCATAAAGATTCAAGACTAGGAAAGGTAGGCATTATGCTGTCTTTCATTAAAGAAATCGGATTTGGGGAAATACTCTAACCCGAATAAGGGGCACAATAGATCTTTTAGGTCGCAATGCAAAATTCTTTCTTTTCTTTTCTAATAATAACAATAATATATCCAACTGATCATTTTACATTATTTTTAGCTTGCTAAGAAGGGCATTAATGTGATTCTCATAAGTCGTTCACTATCTAAATTAGAAGCTGTAGCTAAAGAATTAAGTAAGTACATTATTTATAAATTACTTCTCGTAAATCCAAAATATAGCTTTTCATATTTTCAGCTGATGCTTATAAAGTTCAAATAAAAATCATTGACATTGATTTCAAAGATGGTCCACAAATATATCAGAAAATTGAAAAGAATATTACAGGTCTTGATATTGGCATACTTGTTAATAATGTTGGCATCTGCTATTTATGTCCAGAATTTTTTATCGAGTATATTACTTGTTACCCACAATTCTTACGTGATATTATATCAGTCAATATACATTCAGTTACTCATATGTGCGCTCTAGTGCTGCCAAATATGATTGCGAAGAAGAAAGGTGTTATCATTAACGTATCATCCATTTCTGCAGTAACACCCAGTCCTTTAGTTAGTGTGTATGCTGCTACGAAGGTAGATTTAAATCAATAACATATGTAAATAATACCGGATATTATTTCTAATACCTTATTAATACCGCATTAATAATATATCTATATCTACTTTATGATACATATATCTGCATACCTACTTGTATACCTACATTCGCACTCTCTTTTACAGGCATTTGTGGATAAATTCAGTGATGAATTACAAACAGAATATCAGAGTCAAGGAATTATAGTGCAAACTTTACGACCGTATTTAGTGGTAACGAATATGATGCATAAATTTAAGCCTAACTTATTCGCTCCATCCGCAGAAGTATATGTAGACTCTGCTTTGAAAACAGTTGGTATTACTAGTCAAACGAATGGTTACTTTCTACATACATTACCTCAATTTATCAATCATTTGCTTAATCTTATTGTCGGTCGTCACATCACTAAAATACTTCGTTTCAAATTATTGAAGATTGTACGAAAGCGTGCTTTGAGTAATTTAGATAAAAATAAATAATTTCTTTAGAAAATCAGTGCATTTTAGCTGCTTATACTTTTTAATAATTCTATTGATTTTATTATTATATTTAAATGTTATATTTTTTCAACATTAACTATGTAATGTATTAATTTAGAACAAAATACAACTTTACAATTCTAGATAAACTTAAAATGATATTTTTTATATATTATTAAGAAAACATAACCAACACAAATAATATAAAATAATATTAACACGTGGAAAAAGAAATGATTTACTAATCGAAATTTATAATTATATATTTTGTTGGAATAAAAGAACACACAAATAATTATCGGTCTATATAATATATATCATTATAATAATAGCCGTAATTTTTTCTTTTAGACTTGTAGGAAAACAGCATTAAGTCTGGTTGAAGGTCTAGTCAAGTCTGGTCATCACTTTTAAAATATGTTAAATGTTTTTTTGTAACATATGTTTCTTGTTGTGTTGTGTACAATATGAAATATTAAAATTTTGAATACTAAAAATAAATTTATTTTAATAAAAGAAGTATTTATAAGTAGTATTAAGTATTTAATTATTAATAATAATTATTATTATTAATTATTAATAATAATTATTATTATTAATTATTAATAATAATTAAGTATAGGCCTTTTCTTTTGTAAGCATATTACAAAAGAACAACTGCTTATTTTAAAAATAATATATGATACATCCATTGCGGTGCGGTGGCTTATTTAGTCTAACCTTTTTGAAATCGCTTAACTAATAAGTAGCTCAAATCGCTTGGTTACCAAAACTAAAAATCGTCTATTGTGGAAATCGTCTATGTCATACTAATAAAATGTATGAAATGTAGGTTTCAAAAGACGAATTAGCATGGCAAGAACTGTTGGGCGCAAGAACATTATCTTGGAGAAGCCGAGTACGAGCACACACCGGTCATGGAAACTTAAGGCAGATCTAGATGAAGCATTACGACGGCGGCTATGTGTACGCTTTGTAGAGTTGTTCGGCGAAGACACCGATACCGAAGAAATGGCGAAAACCCTGAATACAGCTGAACCAGAAAAGAAAACAAGTCCCTTGCATTATACCTCATTTGGTTGGGATACGGAATTATTATTAATAATAATTATTATTACTTATTATATTATTAATTACTAATAATAATAATTATTTATTGAGGAAGTGGCTAAACAAACCATTATGAATCTAATTTAATGTAATATGGCGTTTACACTGTCCGAAATTGGCTAATTTCGAATGAGTCATTTAAAAGTGTTTACATTCGTTATATTTCATTTGTTCGCATTTCAAACAGCTGATTTTTCTACTTGCCTGTTGATTTGATTTTTGGCCTGTACCAAAAAAATATTGTATAGAGGTTAAATATACCTTCAAACCTTGCAATATAAACTGAAAACATATTTTTAACTTCGATTAAATACTTTTTCGGAAGTAGAAGTTCTGAAAAGAGGTGCATCGTTTTCAAGGAAATGCAACCACTAAACATTTGTTTAACTTTTTTTGTAAATATGTCAAAAACAGCTTTCTCAAACTAAGATCCAATGGATCTCAATAGCGCTTGAGATTTTGTATGCAAAAATCAGTCATTTACTTCTCATTTTTGATTTTTGACCAAAATCAGCCATTGGAAGCCAGTGTACATGCCGTATAAAATAATTGCGCATACCAATTCTAAAAATCATTTTCAACACTTATAAAAGCCATTGTGAATGAACATCATAGAAACTGTCAAACTGACATTTCAACTAAAAAGAAAAACATTTGCTTTGGCATTGGCACTTGACAATTGAGTGAGTTTAGAATTTTTATTATTATTTTGAAAATTGTAAAAATACATTTTTATAATATATTGCATACAAATAATGAAATCAAAAATACAAAATGAAATCATGAACAAACTTTATGCTATTCTTAGTTGTGTAAATAGTTATTGTGCATAAAAGTTGCCTTACGTAATGTTGGAGCAATTTACGTTTCATTTTTCTTTTCAGATTTTCATGGCCAATACTGTTTTACAATTGGCAAGGAAGTACGGTGTAGTCGTGTTTTTTCCAACTTTTACAGTAACAACTATATACGCTGATTGGTCACATACACGTGAGTGGAAACGGCAACAAAGACTATTACTTAAGAATCAGGAGCTACTAAAAAACTAAAGTAAATATGGTACTTGGAATCGATAAAAAGTTTGCATGGGTTCTATTGCCAATGCTCGGTTTTGGAATAGGACATTATTTGGACAAAAAAGAAACTGAACGCATGGTTAGATTTCGTGATAAGAGCGCTTTATATGGAAGACCAGATGGTTCTGATAAGGAGCCATCATGGTGATTAATAGTAGCAAAAACAAAAACTCAAATGTTTAATTTTAGTAGTAAATTAAAATAAAATTTACAGAAATCTATCTATATTAGTGTTTTGTACATGAAATTATAAAGGATTTATTGAAGCAGTGCATTGTTAGTGCAAAAACAATCTAAATTGATTTAACTTAGATATCATTTGCGTCATTTTAAATCCGAAAAAATCTTATGACCATTTTAAAAGCGATGGTGAGCAAATAAATATCAAATCACAAATGTAATATTAGTTAACTATCAATTATATTTACTTGGACATAATTGTACAAATACCCTTTTTCTTGCAATTTCAGTAATGTTGGTTGGAACGTATATCTAAACTTGCCTGTCTACCTAAGATTTTATGAAACAAAAGGCACAAAATCACAGCAACATTACTTGCGAAAGAAAACTGAATTGTAAACAAACAATTTCTGTGGTCAAAGACCAGAACAAACAATGATAAAATTTTCCCAAATGCACACACAAAAGCCATAAACCTATCAGCATAAAGATTATCTTAATCTTTTTTTTTCTTCTCTAGGTAGTGTACGCACGTTTTGACGCTTAGTAGGGATTCTTTTAAATTTTTATCACACTCTCTACATTAGGTATTGGTTGTATATATTTGTGCTAGTATAAAGTTGTATAAATGATATATACGTTGAAACGTTGTTAAACCATCAAAGAAATTGAATTTCTCTAAAATAATTGAATATTTTTCATACACAGCATACAATTTATAAAGAGATTAATAGAAGTCTATATCGCCGTCACACAAGCGTAGGGTATTCAGTGGAATCTTTACACAGAACTTGTTTTATATTGATTTTATGACCTGACATCGAGTGTTTTTTTTATTATTTTTTAACCGAAATGGTATTTACTCAAAGCCTGTGTATAAATAGAGTCCAAATTTTGTGTGTGCTCTTAGTTTCTTGTATGAAATTTTCGTCCTTTACTTACAATAACGTATGCTTCCCTTCTTCAAATGTGTGCCACAACAAATAATAATGTTTTAACTATCCCTAAAAATACTCCTTCACGTGTACGGTTCAAAATTGTGCTAATTGGTGTATCATTTTAAGTGTATATCTCTTAACGTATCAATTATTTTGCTTTTATTTCGTACACGGGCCCAAAACTTACAATATTATTAATTTGGAGACCCTGGACTATTATAATTTAATCGACGCTAAAAAAAGATTTAACAGAATTTATATTTTTAGTAAAGTAACAAAAATTTCAAACAATAAGCACAGTATTAAAATGTTTCTTATTGTAATGGATCCTAAGCTTCAATGACAAATAAAAGGTATATAAACTGTTACTAAACCTAAAAGAATTCTTAGAAGTTTAGGAGAGAGAAATTAAGTATGACATAGTTGTAATACCTGGTACACAATGCAAATTGCAACGACAAAGTTAGAGAAAATTTCTTTCTTTGACAAAAGTGCATTCAATCTTTTTTTTTGCAAAAACCCTTATAAGATTGGGATTCCCGTTGAAGTTAGAACTTTCTTAGAAAACTGAAAATAGGTACCATTTCACCTTTCATGTTTAAAAACATTTCTTTGAAGTGTTTGAATTCAAATAAAATTAGTGTGAGCTTATCATTTGATATTTCGTATAAGAATAAACGTAGACCCTGGCAGCTAAGCTAGCTTTCTTTTATGGTAGTTGAACGATTATTCGCTTTATTTCTTTACAAATAAATATATTAAATGAAGTATTAAATTACATAGGATTAAGAAGTATTAAAGAAGGGAATCAGATATTAAAATCACTATTAGGCCACAGCATACTAAGAGAGTTTGAAAAGTAGACACTCACAGTACCCCATATTTGTAAAATCTCTTAATGAATAATAATACTTCATGCTAATTAAAAATACATTATTTTTAACTAAAATAAAAAAAAATTATGTATGAAATGAGTATGTAACTAAATATCATTGGCAGTCGGCCACATTAGAGATAAGATTTAATTAAATCGGAAGAAGAAGACACATAGTATTACCACAAGAACTTTTATGACACATTCAACCTATTTACGGATATAGTCACTAATTCTTACTACTCAAGACTAAGGAAATAATTTGTTGCTTTAATAAAGTTTAAGGAATAAGATCACTAAAAAAAATTAACAAGGTAAGGATGCAATTAATAAAGTTATTTCCAGTCGGAGAGGAATAGTGTTATCCGCTTTCTATACTAACCAACACTTTTAATTGTAGTCATTAGAAGATAACACTCTTCCAACGCTTACATATCCATAGATCATTATCAAATGTTTCATTCGTTTCTGATTGTAGGAAGATTTTTTCACGTGAGTAATCAGACATAAGTTGAATATGACATACTTGATTATCCTTTTTAAAGTATTCTGAAGATACGGCCTGTTAAACCGAGAGCTTAAAATGTTAGGAATTTTCTGACAATTCATTGGATATGCAAGAAAAACTACTTTTTTTAATCAAAGAATTATGATTCAATCAGCTATTTATTCGCAGCTAACACTACTATTCTAAAAGAACACGAAAGTTACAAGAGAGTATTCATATGTAATACTACTAGCTTATTACAGATTCAATTTGAAAACATCGAACAAAACGAATTTATTTCACGATATATAAACCCCTTCAATTAACCCACGCACGCAGTCGGTGCTGAACTAAATTTAATGATTAGATTGCAGTTATTTAAAACTAAATTTTTGGATCAGTTTAGAACTAAAATAACTACTAGTATTTATAACTAATTAACGCTATTACTATAGCTTATCAATTAATAAGCTATATAGCTCACAGATATATAGACGTAATACCAGTAATAATTATGGAGTGCTTCTGTATTGAATTTTGCATTAATATTGCTTTTTCTTTCATTGAACATAATTTGGCAACCAATTTTCAAATCATAAATTATAAACGTGCTTCTCCTACTATCCCTGTGATATATGTATTAATGAAAGGTTCTAAATCCCGAGTACCAATTGTAGTCTACTAAGCTGCAAACGAGAGAATTGTATACAACATATACAAGAATTGTATATAAATGAAAAATTCAACAAACCAATTTATATTCATTGTTGCCGCAGACAATTGAAATTGGAGGCGTGCTGTGCTTAAGTATGCTGTGATATTGTCCAACGGTTTTTATTTTGTACACAACAACTGCGCTCAGAGCAGATTTCTGGTGCCTATTTCGCAGTGTTTTGGTTACGGTACCTGTGCGCCTTCGTGCGCTCTTCGAAAGCAAAGTGCTTCTGCGAAAGTAGAAATCTGAGAGCGAATGGCAGGCGATCAGCCAAAAAAAAGGCAGTTTTGGTTTTGAATAACATTTGTGGATGTGTGGACGCATAAATTTGAGGAAATATTTTGTTTTTCGGAACAGGTAAAGAGAAACTATGTATGGAGGCAGAAACTAGTTTTCACTTGCAGCATCTAAACAAGTCTCTGTCTTGATAATTCAGTTTATTTTGAATCTTCGAACTGCATGTGTTGGCAGTGACCTCGCGGAGAAATGAATTCGATTTAAAGTGAAATAAAAAAAAAACATATAAGATGATGTGTGAATCGGAAAGCAACAAACTCTCGTCTATAACTGGCCTTGATAATAGTAAAAAATTCTTGAACAAAACATTGCAAGATTACGAAGTAATTTCAGTGATCGGGAATGGTGCATTTGGTACTTGCTTTAAGGTGCGCGATAAGGCAACCAGTGAACTATATGCTTGGAAAGGCATTGACTATGAAGAGTTGAGTGAGAGCAAGAAGGAGTCGCTTGTATCTGAAATTAGTGTACTAAGTCAATTGCAGCATCCTAATATTGTACAGTACTACCACCATTTGGTGAACTATGAGGCCAAATCAATATTTATTGTTATGGAGTGCTGTGAAGGTGGTGATCTAGCGCAACTTATTACAAAAGCGCGCACTGAGTGTAAACGTTTCGAAGAGAAGTATATTTGGCGCGTACTGTTCCAAATTTGCAAAGCACTACAGGTTTGCCATAATAAAATTAAACAGGGTACAATTTTACATCGGGATATTAAGCCAGCAAATATTTTTTTGGATGCTGAAGGCAACGCAAAACTAGGCGATTTCGGTTTGGCACGTATGTTGCGTCGTAACGAAAACTTTGCAAAAACATTTGTTGGGACACCCTACTACATGAGTCCAGAGCTAATTAAAGGTTCAAAATATGATCGGAAATCCGATGTATGGGCCGTGGGTTGTCTCATATATGAAATGTGTGCTTTGCGTACTGCATTCAGAGGACAGGAATTTTCGCAGCTCTCAACAAACATAACAAATGGTAATTTTAAAGATATTCCTGCGATATACTCTACGGATTTACGTGAAATTATCGCCTTCATGCTTAAAGTTGATAATACAGAAAGACCTAGTATTGAAATAATTATCAGACATCCGATTGTAGTGCGCAATATAAGCGATCTGGGTAATGAGTTTCCAAAATTAATAGAAATTGAGCAAGACTGTTATGCCGTAGTGAATGGCGAAGCCCGTTGTAAACTGCAATTCAGTCCATTGGCAGATCTATCGAGCACTTTATTTTCAGAACAAAATAGCTTTAATGAGGGTTATGGTCAACGACGACTCAGTTTGACAGGAGCGTTTACACCTGATTTACGTGAAGAGTTATTTTATTCAGCTAGGCGTAGAATATTAACAAAATCAAACATAATACAACAATCAGATCCGGAATTGTACGAAAGCATACGCCGAGACGATTATGCTACTATCGATGATACTATTAAAATTACGGCAGCTACAACTGCTATAACACAAAAACCAACTACTCTTACTGAAAACGTTTTCGATAAGATCTTGCAGGACCGCTTGCATGCTATACGTGCACAGGAATCGTTGCTTAAACAAAAGGAATTGAGTTTAGATGAAAGAGAACAACGTTTAAATGAAAGAGAGAAAAAATTACAGCAAATGGAACAAGATCTACAGCAAAGACTCAACCACGCCGAGACTAAAACACCAATATTGCTTACAACTGCACCCACTAAAAAACAAATCCCTGCAATTAATAATTCAACTGAACGATCCCGTATGCCCCTACCAACGGAGTGCACAAGTATAACAAAAAGTATTTTTGTTGATCCAACACCACCACCTGTACCACCACGCAAAAGCTCCAAACATGATGACACATACTGCACAATCGAACCCAATGATACAATACTACAAGAACCGACAGTTGCTAAAATAAATCTGGCTAACTTACCAGTTGCTAAAAGCTTTTCAACATTGCGTCGCGTTACGTTTCAGTCGCCAAAAAAATTCATTAAATACGATATCGAAAATGCGACGGGTAAGTCTGCTACAAATACAAAACCGAATCAATTGAAAAAGACCCAACAACAACAAACACAAGGAACACAAATGCAATCAAGCGTTTCCAGTAAAGGCAGCGAGGATTCTGGTGAATCTAATGGTACACAACGTCAACGTAAGTCAATTCTATCGATTTTCGGTATAAATCGTGCAAACAAAGTGCAAGCTAAACCCGCAGCGCCAGCACAAATACCAACGCCTATAAAATCTTCTCCACTTAAAGAAAATGCAGAAGTGCTTTCACAATGTAAAACCTCGGATCTAACAAATATTTGGACAAAAGAAAATACACGTGCGGCTTTTGAGTTGTGGGCAGCAATGAATCGCGAAAATGGTCAATCTATTGCATCTGCACCACGGCACAAGCTACGCCAATCTGTAAGAGAACGTTCAACTTTACAGCGGAGTCGTTTACGTCGATCAATGATTGTTTCTTCGGGCACCGTTGGCATGCCAACTCGCGAACAAATCCTTGTGTAAATAATTCAACACTATTTACGCGTGTTCCTAGTTCCTACTAGACTGGAATTAAAATATATATAATATAATTGTTTTTTAAAAACATTATTCGATCGCAATACTATATATTCGTAATACATTGTATTTTATTTATATTAAGAGACAAATAAATTTATCATAATTATTTTATAAGCAAAAAATCCGTTTTTCATTTTCAATTCATAAAACTGAATGTTAATAAAATTCTTTGAAGTGTAACTATACGATACTACTTGCCCCACGTAAGTTTAGGTAACCAGCAGTTATATCTGAAGGTAGCTCCTTAACAATTGCATACTCTTCTGCATTGTGGTAGTGCAATTTTGTTTGTGGATCAGTATAGGGCGCAATCAGCCCAGATATATCAGAATACTTTTTAGCTGGCCGAAAAGATGGTGGAGAACTTAAAGAGGAATCTAATGTATATATAAAACAAAAAATTCGTTTTATTTATTTAAAATTCGTAAATTAGTTAAGTAGCCTACATGTTACTGCATCCTCTGGCCAAGTAAGACTTTTTTCTGTTGACATGATTTGTTTAAGTGATTTCCATATTAACTTCTTATTTCCTGGCTGCGTGTAAGTGAAATTTGGATTTTTAAATTTACATTTTGATTGCTCTTCAGACATAATTTACGATTATTTAAATTTGCTAGAATCGCGATATTTATTGTTTACAATAAACACTAAGCAAAACAATCATTGAAGCAACCCAGCAGTGTTGTAAAACGGTTGCAACTAGGCTTGACACTTTATATAAATTTGTAATATCATTTTATTCGTGTGTAAAGGGCATGTGTATTTATAATTATTTATATAAATTGTCAAATATATATATTTTTTAGAGTAGTTAAAAGTTCACTTTTATACTTATTTTTAATTGGTGAAAAAAGGCTGGTGGTAATAGAAAATAAAATAATTGATTGTATAATATTTATTGTATTTTGGTAATATATTGTAAAATATTTAATTTATTAGACCTATAATAATGACGATAACAGGAACTGACATTTCAATTTACACTATCATGAACTGTCATGAAGCGTGAAATTTGTTTGAAACGCTTGTGTGTAGTAGTGCATACCACAGAAATTCAAAGTATTCAGCATTAAATTTACTTAAAAGGTGTTCAGAGCTTCAACAATGGATCTAAATAAAGAATTACTAAACACGACAAAATTCGTTTCAAAATAAAAATCGCGAATCCCACAAACTCTAAAACATAACATTGTATATGTAAAAAAGCAGCAAATTTCGTCGTTCATGAAATAACATCACACTCTCTTCCTCTTCCCCCTCTTATCTGTCGAAACCGGTTTAAAAGTTCATGTTCATGTTACATTCGTGATAGTGTAAATAGGCCCATTGCTTATTATTTAAAAATAAATTTCACCATTTTCAATAGTATTATTAAATAGTATTATTATTAAAACAATTTAATTTGTTGTTTAATCGATATCAGAACTTAGTGGTGGGATCTCATATCGATTAAATACTAAGATTTTGAAACATATTTTTTCTAACAATATGTACGACTGAGTAATGATCATTATTATACAAAAAACATTTACTAAAACAGAATTAATTATTTATATTCTGCTTCATTTCTAAAATCAATCAATATCTTCAACTTTCTTTGCACAAAAACCTTCGCTACGTATCGTGAGCACTCCACAACTTACTACATTCTTTAATTCAAGATTCAAACATATGCAAAACGTTTTACAACACTTTTTCTGTTCATAAATTCGATGCAAAAAGTTTTAAGTTGAATAAGACGTTATTAAACGAAGTTGGAGTTAGAGAAATTTTTTGAATAATTCAATAACTTTATACTGATTTAATTTAATAATAGTAATGAGTGGCAAAACACAATTGTTTAAGAATTTAAAAAATTTTCGTTTGATCACATTTGACGTAACTGATACATTGCTTCGCTTTCGGTATCCGCCGCCTATCCAGTACGCCAAAACAGCGACAGAGCTTGGAGTAAAAAACATTAACCAAGAACAACTAAACGAATGTCTGCGAAAAGAAATTAAAGCTATGGCAATAGCACATCCAAATTTCGGCCGCAGTACCAATTTAGGTTGGCAGCAATGGTGGATACAATTAGTAAAAAATGTATTTCGTCATGTAAAACCAAATATACCTCCCGAACAATTGGACATGTTGGCAGAAACTCTTTTACGAGAATACAGAACGAAGGAATACTGGTCATTTATGGAGGGCAGCGTAGAATTAGTACAAAAAATACGTGATGCTGACAAATTTGTTGGTATTATATCAAATTTTGATCCCAGTTTATCGACAGTACTTCGGGAAATGGAAATTGAACATTTATTCGACTTTATTTTGACTTCTTATGAAGCTGGAGCACAAAAGCCAGACGCAAAAATTTTTTCCATACCATTGGAACGTTGTAATATTAAGCCAAATGAAGCTCTGCATATAGGCAATATGTATGAAATAGATTATGTTGGCGCCAAGAACTCCGGATGGTCAAGTCTATTAATAAGTCAAGATAGCAATAAATACGAGAATGTAGAAGTCATGCATGTTTATGCAAGCATTAAAGATGTGATAAATGCGTTAGAAAATAAAGATATCAAATGGTAGCACTTTATTGTGTTACCTTTTACAGCTTTTGTGCTTATAACGTGATAACAGAGAATTTAAATTAGATAAAATTGTAAATAAATTGTTTTATGTATATAATAAATTATGGTAATCCTAAACGCTACTTTATTTCTTATTGCAAAGTATCAATAGCAACAAGAAGATGTTTAAAGTTTCACAAATTTTTTTATATATATATTGCTTTTTTCTGGATTTAATAGTATGCTATTGTAAAACTATTTTCGATTTGTGTAGTATATGTGACTCCAGAGTACTTGCAGTCACATTCCAAAATACTGTATTCCAGTATATTGTACTCACACAATATCACGGGATGGTTGAAAGTTAAGTTTAAGAAATTTAAATCAACTTAAATTTAATTAAGTTGAGAAATTCTCACTTCCTGATGATGTATGCGAGTAAGAAAAAAAATCAAGAATCTTTAAAGCATATAACAATGTTCTTTGCAGTTACCTATGTCGTTACAAGTGAAGTACCAAATATGTAGCGCCAATTTTTTTTAGCTTGTTTGTAGTATTAAGTAATTAACCGTTCTGTTGTTTATTGGAATTGTCACCACATGCTTCCTCTCCAACCGCGAACCAACGGCAATATGTTTACGAATAAATTCGACTTGGAGAAACGGTATTATGGCATAATCAAAACCAGTAAACAGCAGAACGTTAGCATTAAAATTGAAGAGTAAGTACTTTAAGATTATTAACAAGAAAAATTTCAACGAATATATGTACATGTATGTATGTCTTACATGTCTTACAAAGACGTATAGAAAACTTCTTCTTTTACCTAATTATATCTTAACCCATGTATACGTGATTGTAATTGCTTTCATGTTTTCTGCACTACAGATCACCGCAAATTACAACAACAACAAAATATTCTAGGAATATGTTCCAAAAATATAATCAAAATATGTTCAGGGTATGAATCGTAATTTTGTATATATGTATATATAATTTTAAAATAATAACTTATTCTCTTTTTAATTCGAAATAACCTTAAATAACAAATTATATATATAAAAAAGACAATACATTAACATTATTTACTAATAAATGACACACTGTACATGAGTTCCCTTACCAACATAAGTTCATGACAACTACGACTCCAACTTCACTTCACCCATGCAAACATACAAAACTGAAGTTAACTAACAAATATAGTTTATTATAAAGTATTAACATTTCAACTTTATTTAAAATTATCTCAATTTAACACATTAAAAGTTACGATTTTACAATATTGATGATATTATCAAATGGTATACAATTAGTAAATAAATGCTTATTACATTATATATTTGATACAACACATAAGTTAGTTTACTACATATTAGCACTTACTTAGGGAGATTTTGTTCTTTTAGAGGATGTAATTTGTACTTTTGTAGTTTTCACATTATCACTGTTAAGTTTTTTTTTTAATTCAGCTGATACTTGTTTTATCACAGCCTCACTAGTAATTTTCAATTCTCTTTCTAGTGATTCGATGTCGACATCGTTGGACTCCAAACGCATTTGTATATCAGAATAAAAATCGCATACGAGCACAGGCTTGTCAGTAGCTGAAACTGTGCGTTTGCTGCAATATTGACCGCGTTGCAGCAAGTCGGGATTGCTAATGTTGCTTTCACTATAGCGCACAGCAAGTGGTACCTAAAAATAAAGTTTTTATTGTTAATATTTAATACTGAAAATCCTATAATTTACGTTCAAATAGTTTACCTGTTGCTGTACTAGTTTTTCATGATTCTGTGCTATTTTTTGTTTTAGTTTTTTAAACTTTTTTACCTCATTTTTCATGTAATCAACGTAACTTAAATAAAAATTATTATAAATCAATTCAAATAAAAAATTATGAATTTCATTTACCTATGCATTTTAGAAGTTTTTTTATTTAAATTATCTAGACAATTTATAAAATTCCGCACAGGCAAGGTCTTTGGTATTATGCTAGGATCTACGCGCTCAGCGTCATCAAAACAAATTAAAGCACGCTTAAATTCATGCTGCATTGCCAAAAAAGAACCAAGTACAAAGTGGTTTTCACATACATTAGGCGCCAGTGTAGTAGCTGCTGTTAATAGAACTTCAGCATCTGTGGTACGTCCTGCACGAAACAATATTGTACCAAGGCTTAACAGAGGCATATCTTTATGAGTAAGTGGTGTTAGCGGAATAGCTTTACGAGCACACTCAAAAGCCTTCTGTGCATCTCCCTGCAGACGCCAATAATATGAACTTAATGTATAATATTTCCATGCTTCACCTTTCTTTGACATTCCGCCAATAGCAATACTACGTAAAAGATCTTTTATAGGAACAGTGCTTATTACGCTAAAATCCATTTGTACTTCTGGTTCAATATGCATTGTTTTTAAGGATTTGCCCTTAAAACTTTCCAAATGTTCATAACCAGTAGGTTTTTGGTCATCTATTTTGTCATTCTCACAAATTGGTTCACCTGATTTAATATCAAATTTTTGATTTAACTCAGATAATTCAAATCGATTCATGTAAGTTGTAGTCATTTGAAGATACGATGTACTCTTTTCCAATATATAGAAATTTACGGCGCATTTTGCTTGTTCAACCAAATCCTCCCCATACTTAACGGAAAAACGTATGTGTTCCGTTATTTGGTTACGTTGTTTAAGAAGTTGCGCGTATGATGCTTCTACATAGTCGTTGTATTGTACTTGTTGAAGAAATGCTACGAGGTTATCCGGTTCGCGTAAGTGAAACGGAGAGTCGATTTTTGGCGTGATGCGTTCATCCTTAAGGGTCCAGTGGTTAACAACAGCATATGCCGCACTTATAAAATAAATAATTATACCAAAACTTTTATACATGACATGTCACATAAAAAACTTAAAAGAATTAACAAAATATAATAAAAAAACGAAACCCATGCAATAAACTAAACAACAGACAGTATAATTTATTTACAATTGATATGAGCCAATACAATCCACAAAATAGTGATACCAGATGGCAAAAATACAGCTTCATTATTCTTAATTGTTGAATCAATTTAGAGTAAACGTTTTCGCATTATATAATTAGTAATTAAGTTTTTAAAATATTATTATAATATAATTTATATATACTTTACAACTAGCAAAACTCAACTAGTAATATTAGCACAATTAAAATTAAATATTCCAAAATAATATAATTATCGAAATGAAGCAAGTAATGATTATTTAATACTACGTTTCCACTACGTACTTAGTAAGCCATATAGTAACATTGAGCTTTTGGTCGTTTACATTATGGAAAAGAGCTTTTATGTGTCAAGAAGTTACTTAAGAAATGAGAAAGAGCTTTTATGTGTCAAAAAGTTCTAGTTTTAGAGCTTTTGTTTGTTTACATTTTAATTGTAAGCAGATGACATTAAATTTTGTATTGTTAGAATGTTAGTTTTGAATTTTGAGTGTTTGTTTATGGTTTGTTTCATGTGTCAAATGTTTCAAATTCCGATAATTTCCAATGTTGCATTCGTCATTTTTGGTATAATTTTGGTCGAATTTTGCTTACTATATGCTATAGTAAGTAAAAAAGCACAGAAGCTATTTGTATGGTAAATGAAATTTACTCAGTACGATAAGCTTGCTAAGTACGTAGTGGAAATGGCCTATAAGAACAAACAGCCTATTAATTTTTTATATGCCATACTAAGCTAGTATTAAAATGTTAAAAATTTAAGTGAACATACACATTATAATAAACTCATTTATGCAGCTAATAGAACATTTATAAACTTCACTTAATAATATATCACACAAAACAAATAAAATTATTATTACTATTACACAAAGATTTTATTAAAGAATTACTTCCTCAGTGCCTTTGTTTACAGCTCAGCTGATGTTTGTTTACGTTTTATAAAACATATGCAATAATTTATTTTTAAGGGTTGCATTAAACATTTTTCGCCTTAATTGAGCTTATTTATTGATAATGACCTAATTTATATGAAAGCACTTTGAATAAAAAATAATCCTCTTTAATGGCTCTAATGAGTAAAACTACCTTTATGAGACAGTGAGAATGTATTATTATATACTCAAATTGCTAAAAAAAAAAAGCATGGTATGTATTTATTTTGCATATAGAGCAGAAATCGCTTTTATTAAGAAAAATTATACCAAAATTTTTGAATGCAACCCTTAAAAATAAATTTCCCACAAAGCAGTTATTTATTATATGTTTTATATGTAAAATGTAAACAAACAGTTAGCTAAGCTGTAAAAAAACGCTCGCAGAAAGTAAGTATTTAATAATATATATTTTTTATTCATTGAATATGTAATACATTTATAAAATATATATGATTTATTATATCAATTATATACAGTCAAACTCCTATAACTCGAGGTACCATTTTGCAAAGAAAAAGTTTGACTTATGGAGACTTCGAGTAAAAAACTTTTTTGTATTTGTATGTAATTTGCTCGTTAAACCCTATGCCACTCTATTTAGTTTGAGTTATAAAAAATTCGAGTTATAAAAGTTCAAGTTATGGAAGTTTGACTGTATTTAATTTTTTGTGAGATATATTATTGCATGTAATTTATTTAAACAAACAGCAGCTTTCTTAGAACTTTGTGAAACATAAAAGTTCTCTCCCACGTGCAATTAGTGACTTATGTCAATGGATACGGCAAATTCTTAAAGTTACTTAAGTAACTTATACTAATGAATGTTGAAAAAAATGATAACAGTGAATGTTGTTTAAAAACAAACGCCATCATACCAAACTAGCAAGCATATATGATGTGTAATACTCACTTTAGGTCTAAGTATTCTCATGTAAGTATATATATATATAGTATATATGTATTATTGGTATAAGAATTTAATAAAATTCGATAAATATTATGTAATGAGATATATTATATCAAAGAAATTAATATGTGAATAGATTTAAATTTTACTAATACTTGTTTTTTTGACCTGGCAGTACTAATTTTGGAAGAAGGAATATGTTAAAATGCATAATAAATTGGATTGTATGTCGACTGTGTTATAAAGAAATTTATTTCTTTAATTCCTGACAAATCTTGAATATCGTGTTATTTACATTTTTCACTGTGTGAAACTAACAAATCATTACCGTTAAGTTGCATTTAGTAAATGAAATTAACGTACTACAGTCGAACGCTTCGCATAAAGGAGATCAACTGCAACAAGAAAAGAGAAATCAGTTTAAGGGAAACTCTGCAGTAAAATAATTAACTTCCACAGCGTTGTCATTATTATTTTAATACAACATAACTAGGACGATACAGTTTGATACCAAGCACATAGTATATTTACTTTAGCTTAAAGCAATTTAGAAGGAAACGAATTTTAAAAATTTGGTACAAATATTTCACATCGGAGCAACTAATTAAAAATGGCTGCAGTCAATGACTGTTTTACAATTGGATCCACAGTGTTGTGCACTACTTGTTTTAACGAGGAAGTAGAGGGTGAAGTGCTTGCTTTCGACCATAACACAAAAATGCTTATTTTAAGTATCCTTTTCAAAAACAAACAACAATTTTATAAACATTAATTTGTTGATAAATAAGAGCACGTTTTAGTTAACGTAATCTAAAACATATTGCATCATTCAATATTTTCAAAACTAAATATTATGATAGCAATTAATTATATATTATTACATACATCTACGTATTGGATGCTTAATTTATAAAAAAGTTAATTATCAATAGCTGGAGAACTATGTAATAATATATGTTATTATTAGTTTAATATTTTACTATATATCATTACGGTATATATAAGTACTGATGCGCTTATATTTTGGTTCAAATTTTACTACATATTTTATATTATTACATTTGAAAAGTTTTCCAAACTCATTTAGCTTAAAATAAACAGAATGCCGTTCAAAAAACTCTGAATCATTAAATGATGTTTATGTGCTGAATCTGTCCTTATGCAGCAATGTTCAAGTGGTAAAAGAATGTAATGGTAACTTTGTTGATGATCCTCAAAAACTAAATCTCGAACAGGTAAATATTTTATTCAAACTAGTTAATACTGTTATATAACTGATAATTATATACTGATTACTTTAACAGCTTAAAATTAGACTACGCAAAACAGTACAGCATAGACAAACTTATTTAAAATCAAAAAATGCAGATGTCAGTCCCGAAGTTCAGGAACTATACCGAGTAATCGCAAAACAGTTCAGAGTAAAGAAACTATAGTATATATTTTATATAAAACTTATTTAACATTTTGCTATCATTTTTAGGCCAATGAAGTTTCATGGCAAGGACAGAATATACAAATATTTAACGAGGTTACTATCTTGCCACCATATAGAGTAGACAACGTTGTGTCATCTTCTAATAATCAAAGTTTATGCAAATACATAAAGAAAATGGTAAATTTATTTATATATATATATATATTATTCTAATTTTACACGTTTTAATTTCTAGATCGAACAATTTATTAACACAAGAGCTTCGCAGGACGCCTCATCGTCATCATCGAGTAATGCGAACACAAGTTCTCCTGTTTCGGCTAATTAATAAATATCTTTCGAAGTTGAAATATGTGTTGTTTTCATTTTGGAGAAGTAATGGAAGTTAGTTGAATTATAAACAATAAATTGTTATTTAGCTTCGTAAAAATTCGACAGACAAATCAGTAAAATAATAAAAATCAATGGAGTGCTTCTGATCGTTACTACATAAATGAAGGTATCGAGCTCTCAAGAAACTATGTCTTAAAATTAATAACTAAAGTTGCACAAGTTTTTAATGCAATTGAAAATAGAAGCAATACTTCTAGAAATGCGTAATTATTTCTTTAATAGAAGATAATAGTAATAGTTTCTTGTAGAAACAAAATAGTTTTGGAAAATAAGGATGCAGTATACAATATACAATTTCATCTCTTAACATAATGTGAAGCAATTAAAGTGTGACACCAAAAAGTTTTTACTACTTATGTAAATTGTGTTATTTGAATATGCCGAGCAAAAAGAAAAATTTCAAAAAAAACGTGACTAACTTAATTTAATATTTGGTAATTAAATATTCCCTTACACTTTACTATTGTACTATTAAGATAGCCAAGATTAAAGTGGCAATCATCGTGGCAGTGCTGACAGGTCATTGGGTAGTGTAGTTGAGTATCGTTATCAACTAAATATGCAAGAGCTGTAAAGACGAAAAGGAAGCAAACCGTTGCTGTGCAGATTTCCAGGCTTCTCAAGACTTAAACTATTCACTGTTGGAGTTAACAAACTTAAAAACCTAACGAATATCCTAAATATGGATATTCAAAAAATAATCTGTTTATCAAAGTAAGTTTTGAAATTGAAGTTTTTATAGACGGGTTTGTGGTATCGCGCCTATCTACTTCTTGGACAGAAATGAAAATTCTGAAGAATTTGAAAGAAGAGAGAGGTTAACATTAAAGCCAACCAATCATTGTATTACTTGACTTTCCGCGCATTAGTTATTAATTTTGTGTTATATACAACGAATGAATTTATAATGGAGTGTGCTTGCACCTAAAAACAAATATTGGAGGTGTGTGTAAGCAGAAAAGAATTGAAATTAACAAAAGCGAGCAAATGGAAAATAAAGTGACTTGTATAATAACTAGAAATTGAAGATCTATTACCTCTACTGGCACTACAAACTATTGAATTCACTAGACAATAAACTTACAGGAGTGAAGACATAATTTCCATCGTTATTCATTTGCCTCTTGATTAATATATTGCGTATCAGTCTATAATCCTTTTTTTAATGAAACTACTTAACCACTATTTATTTCACATCAATAAAAGTTTTAAGTTTAAAGTTCTAATGATCAATTATATAGGTAAGTTTAAAGACAACTAACCGATCTACTTTCGCTAAAAAACGTGTCAAATATAGTTATCAAGCAATATACCGGTAGTTCAATTAAAAATACTTAACAATATTATTACTCCAGGTAATTAAGTGAATTTGCATAAAAGTTAAAAACCACTGGTATACATAAATTTTTTTGGATTTTATTTGTCACCACAAATTCATTGAACAACTTGAACTAAATATAAACCCCGATATTTTGTTCATGAAAGGGATGTGATCTGAAGCTAAACAATATACAATACATTTTACTATAGCAATGAACTTGACTTTAAGAACGGCCGGACCTATAACCCATAGCCGAAGTCGAATTTGATTACCAAATGCTGTTTACCACACCCAAAAGGGAATACACAAGCAGATCCTTTCGAGTTACAACAACAAATTTGAAGCAATAAGTTCCATTTCTTAGAGAAAATTGTTTGATGTTTAATAACTGTAAGTATAAACATAGTATTGAAGAATAATTATGAAAAATTTATAATGTTCAATAAGTAATATTAATAAAATTCGGTACTCTAAAATCCAAAAAATGTTGGACGTTGAGTGAGTAATTCAGGATTTATAGCTATGAATGGATTAATTTTTCAAATAGACAAATGTAATATATATATTTGTAATATATTTTTATTAATACAATGTACGATTTTACCATATATATATTTATTTTGCTCATATTATGTTATATACATTAAAATATATCAATTTATTAATTTTTATTTTGAAGTATTCTTTATAATTTTTATATATTCTTAATATATTTATAAACATGGTAAATAATTTTTATATTTATTACCTAAAATGTTCTCGTTGTTACATACGCTGTGTACGTAATGCTTTACGTTTCATACGTTTTTTTCGCAATTGGAAAGCCCATTATTATAACAACCCTGTTGTGAAGATGAAAACAATGTTGTGTGGAAGACATAAAAACATTATAGAAACGTTTGATTTGTAAACTGATGTGGAAATAGTTTTTAAATTCAATTTATTACAAATCTCTTTTATATATATTAAAACTAGTACCAATGGAAGAGGTGCAGAGGCATAGTGTTCATACACTTATATTTCGTTCTTTAAAAAGAACACATGACATGTTTGTGTCAAACCAAGGCGCACTGCCGGAGATTGATGAAAAATTGTAAATAAACTTAAAATGTATGTTTTTTGTTATAAAAATATTAAAAATCTATTTTTAGAGAAAAAGTACGTAAGTCTATAAAAGCAAAGGATTGTTATCAACTTGTATTCGATAGAGTTCTGAAAGCAAATGAAGCTAAGCACAATTCATCAGCTTCAAGCGTAAGTAATGCCATAGAAGCACCAGCTACGCCTCTCGGTATAACCGATGGCAACAGTAAGACTGCAAACGACAAAAATAACTTAGCATTAGTTCCCTCTGGTGATAAAAAGCCTACAATGGAAACAACAGTGAATAACTCATTAGTATCTGCACCTGGTATGCGTACTGGTAGTGGAACCAGCAATACACAGATTATACCCAAGAAAGCACCAACAATACCAAAGCCTGCCTGGCATCCACCATGGAAACTTGCACGTGTTATTTCTGGTAAGCAATACTATAATTATGATTTAGTCTTATTTCATGAAGAGAGGCTACTGAGCAACAACAAAGTACATAGTAAAAGAATTGTATAAATCTACATACATAATGATTAACAATTTTTTTGTTATTGTTCAGTCTCCTTTTGTTATGAAATTCATTTTATTTGTTGTTACTATATAAAAAAAATACCAGTGTTAATAGAATTCATTTTTTCTCTTAGGACATCTTGGTTGGGTGCGCTGTATAGCCGTAGAACCTGGTAATGAATGGTTCGCTACTGGTGCCGGTGATCGAGTTATTAAAATATGGGATTTAGCAACTGGTAAACTTAAGCTCTCTCTAACTGGTCATGTAAGCACAGTGCGTGGTTTAGAGGTGAGCGCTAAGCACCCTTACTTATTCAGTTGTGGTGAAGATAGGCAAGTTAAATGCTGGGACTTAGAATACAACAAAGTAATACGACATTATCATGGTCATTTATCAGCTGTTTACTCTTTGTCATTACATCCTACTATTGATGTACTCGCAACATCGGGACGTGATTCAACAGCACGCATATGGGATATGCGAACTAAAGCTAACATACATACTTTAACTGGACATACAAATACCGTAGCCAGTGTAGTTGCACAAGCTGCAAATCCACAAATTATCACCGGTTCACACGATTCAACAGTTCGTTTATGGGATTTGGCAGCTGGCAAAAGTGTTTGTACATTAACAAATCATAAGAAATCTGTAAGAAGTATTGTGCTGCATCCTTCACTGTACATGTTTGCATCTGCCTCACCTGATAATATTAAACAATGGCGTTGTCCGGAAGGAAATTTCGTGCAGAATATATCTGGACATAATGCAATTGTTAATTGTATGGCTGTCAATCCAGATGGAGTTTTAGTTTCTGGTGGTGACAACGGTACTATGTTCTTTTGGGATTGGCGTACTGGTTATAATTTTCAACGTTTTCAAGCACCGGTACAACCTGGCTCAATGGACAGTGAAGCAGGCATATTTTCTATGAGTTTCGATCACTCAGGATCAAGATTAATTACTGGCGAAGCTGATAAAACTATTAAAATTTATAAAGAAGATGATGAAGCTAGTGAAGAAACACATCCTGTTAATTGGCGACCAGAAATACTTAAACGTAGAAAATTCTAAACTTTATTGATATTGTGTGTATACATTGTATACAATTTTTTACTGTTTAAATGTAAATCTTTTGAGTTGTAAAATTTACTAAGACAAAAATATTTTAACTTTAAATAAATCAAATATTTTGCATTTATAAAAATGTTTTAATAAATATAAAAATTTGCAAGCAAATGTCAGTTGATTACATTACTTACGAGATATAGTAAAGGTTTTGGCTGTGCCCAAAGTGTAATTCGCTTTCCTGCTACTAAAGCTCTAGTATAAAATGCACAAATACCTGCTTTAATTCACTAATCCGTCACTTATGAATATAAAAATATTAGTTCTTTAAGAGCAGCGAGTGACTAGACAGGCTATCATTTTGACATTTATAATTTTTCAGAATATGTGAGATGGTAACACTGTGTTTGTTTACGTTTTATTTTTATTGTTATAAAAAACTATTTTGTTTAAATAAATTTGTTGACTATGACTGTTTGCTTTATTTGTGGAGATTTTTCGAATTTAGTTCTACATACTCTTAACAAAATAGTAGGAAGTCCTCCAATAGTTCTCAGTAATTTAATTAGGCAATGTGTTGGCGCCGACTGGAAGCTGGTACAAACTAATAAGATATGTGACAAATGCAAGAAGAAATTAGAGGAATTTTATAACATACAGTTGAAAATGCAACAAATTCAAAAGGAAATTGTAGATCTTTTAACAAATACCTATAATAAACAAAATAAAGAATTGAAATCTAACACACTGAATGTTGGTGAAGAAAATAAAAGCTTAGTTAAACAGAAGCATACGTGTTCTCTAGGAATTAAGCAGGAAATATGTGAAGCCAATAATAATGGTAAATATTTAAAGTAAATATCAATAGACATATAAAAAAAGATATTCAATCCTGTTTAGATATGCTAACCAAATTCGAATGTGATGCAGTTGCTGATAACGATGATAAGCAAAGTCAATTTATGGAAGACAAAAGTTACGTAGTTAAACGAAAATTAGAAATATTAAAACCACTCACAGATATACAGAGTCCCATTTCAGGAGATTCGCATAAAATTAAATCTATTATTAAAAATAATTCTATTTCAAAATGTGCCTTTAAAAATATTTGTGAATTATGTGGTAAAATTTTTCATTCATATACAGGTTTTTTGTATCATTCTCGAACCCATGATCCTATTAAACACTTTAAGTGCAGCATTTGTGGTGAAGAGTTTCGAGAAAAATATGCGCTTAAGCTGCATATGGCATATCACACTGGAGAGAAGCCATTTAAATGTGATATTTGTGCAAAATGTTTTGTACACAAGAAAAGTCTGCGAATCCATAAACAGATACATGACGAAAGCACAAGGCAATTAAAATGTGAACAGTGCAGCTTTAAGTTTCGCACCAATTCCCATTTACGGCGTCATATGGTAACGCATACTGGTGCCAAACCATATCCATGTCCCGTTTGTACAAAACATTTTTCGACAAGTTATGGTATGAAAAAACATCTAAAGCAACATCAGAGTCCAGATTGCAACAAAGAATTACGATATCGTTGTAAATTGTGCCCGCGAACTTTTACCAATAAACAAAACTATCAAAATCATTGTGAAATTAAAAGTTGTATTTAGTTAATGAAAGATAAATAAATAATTTAATAGATAATTTTGTTTTTGTATTTTTTCTTCTTAAGGAACAATCGATTGATCAATCAAAAAGTAACAATAATTTTGGTTTTACGTACCCTGTATCTTGCTGATCTAGTTGAGGTAACCATAAAGTGTATGTCGTTAACTATCAGGCAGGTGCAATGTTTGAATTGAGTTTTCTGAAGAAATTAACAAAAAATAGATCGATCACAGGTTATTTAGTTTGTTTTGTGTAACAAAATGTCTAATCATAGAGTTAATATTGTTAAAAGGACCTTTGGTAACGGTACAATATTACAACAACAATTATATGAATGTGAAAATATTTTCAGGAATGTCGAAAAAACATTAAAAGTGACCTAAGGACCGGGGCGTTCTAATGTGAAAAAAAATTAATCAGCTTGTGCTAGCTTATAGAATAATCAACGTTATAGATATAAGTTTTTTAGCAATGATCTTTACTCCTTGCTAATAAATAGAAATACAACTAATTAACAATGTTAATTAAATTTTATTAAATTTTTTTCATGAGTAAAATTCGAAACATTTTCCTCAATTATTTTAAAAAACTTAAAATATTTGAAATTGAATTTTAGTTTTCAATTTCAATAAATGCACAGCCAACTGGGTCGCCACAGTTTTTTATTTGTGAATTAACATTAAAATTAATTTTAAAGTTAACTTAGAATAAGGAACTGGACTACTAAGCCTTTCGGCCTCCTTATAGACATTAAAAATGGCATGTGGTTGTTAAACGATTGGGTTTTTTAAAAAGTTTTAGGCATAAGACATTACAGTGTCAATATAACTAAATCCAAAAATTTTAAAATGTTTATACAAAAAGTTCGTAGCGAAACATTTTATTCCCTGTGACTTTTGAGGTCCTGTGACTTTTTTATTTTCAAAGCTCAAATAAGATCAAGCTTAAGACTGTACCTAAAAATGGGTTTTAACAATGTTTTCAAATTGCTATATATTCTCTCTCATTATTTTTTTATCACAACTAGTATCTATATATACATTTTTTTTGTAAACTTTATTAGTGAAATTAAATATTAATAACACAAAAATATTATTCTACAGAATATTTTATTTATTGATTAGATCAAATTTTTAATTAATGTAAAAAGAACTTGAGTTGTTAAATTTTATTCCAGACCATGGCACGTCTGGAATTATTCTTATGCTCTAACAAAAACGGTTGAATAACTTGGTGATTGTCCTCATAGATATCATCATAAACATATCAAAAAAAAAATAACACGTTTAGGTCAAATAAGCGCTGATTTATTGACTTCAGCTTATTGAAACTAGTATGACATATTGTTAATATCTTAATTAGAATATTTTGTATTTATAAATGATTAAATTTTTAACAAAACGTTGGCTTTTAAGTTTTATGATGTACTAGTCTTGTTTGTGCTCCAAGGCAAAACAAGAAGTAATAACATTTCTATATGCCTTAAACATGTTTAACTCTATAAGCGAATCATCATTCATATCTACCATTCGACCCATAGAAATGACTGTTAATTTGTATGTCTCCCATTCCTTGTCAGTAACATTGAGACGTGTTTGTATGCGTTGCTTGAGAGTACCGTAGGTTTCTCCATTTGCAGCTTTTATTAAAAATGGCACTCCGAATGCATTATAAAGTTCTTTGCTAAAATGAGTCACTGGTATTAGCATTTCGTTTTCAGTCAATTGTAAATCTTCAGTAGGTATTTCTTCAATACGGAAGGTTTTCTGCGGATTACAAGGAATCATTGGTTCATACGATTTTTGTAATGTTTCAAATGACACATTTTGTTCAATAATTGCTACAATTTTATGATTGCTAACTTTTAATAGTCTCAGTTGTTTTTGACTATTTTCAGAAAATTGTATTTTCTCGGCAGCTTCCTCAAGTAATTCTTTAACATAATCATTTTTGTTGATATATAGAACCAGTTCCTTCTCTTCTTTTAAGTCGTTCGAAACCCAAACACATTTAAATTCCTTATTATTGTCGAGTTCATGAATACTGAGCGACAATCTTTGATAATAAATCTTTTTTGATCTTCCCTTCTTACCATCATTAAGTAATTCTTCTATGGTCCCCTACAACAAAATTGATACTAATTTTAATTGAAATTATAATTTTATTTTTATGATTTGAAATATCTATTATTTATATAAATAAAAATAAATTTTAAAATAATATTGTAAAAATTAATATATTAACAAATGATAACACCACAAACAGAATTATAATTAGCAATATAGCACAAATGGTACTGCAGCTGTGTAACCCTCATCGTTCATTTGTTAAATTAACCTAGGAAACATATAAATTTGCACTTAATTAGATTGTGAGTGTCTGCCTCACTTAGATTCCAAATTTGCTGACCTTTGATAGCGGTTAGATGTTATATGTAATATTTAAATACTAACATAGGATATTTACAATCTTCACAGGCTATTTACAATCTAATTCTCTTCTAATACGAGATTGTCAGGATTCTCTCAATACGTCGTATGATTTCGTCGGAATCCAACTTCCTAAACAAGCACGCTACTCTCCGATATTGACTTTTCTAATATTGGCATTCATATTGCAATAACTAAATTGGTAATTAAAAATAAATACCTTGGGTTTGGAAAAGAAAAATGAAGATTCTTGTCAGATTAGAAAATTTATCTAATCCAAATTGAACAAAATTTATATCAGTCAGTTGCTTCAACTAAAATTAAAGGCGGAACCAACTCAGTACTATAATATCAATAACAGAGCTGTCATTCTTTAAAATCAGGGACAAAGCTAAGTTCATAGAATTGACAGGTTGGTTTCCTTCTAATTGAATGTGGGAGTCGTGCCTTCTCACTTGATGCTTTTTGTACACTAGATGCTTCAAACTTCTATATTTTAAACATTTCTTCATGTCTGGCGTATGGACAGTGTAAGTCAGCTTACACTGTGGTTAAATGAGCTTTGGTGCAGAAGGCTGCCACTCCAACCTAACTGAACCTAAATGGTTAATAAAATTATTATTAGTAACAAATATATTCATTTTTAGTTCTCAAAGTATCTGTTCTTTAAAATATCTTAAACAATTGTGTCAGAACTATTTATTAAATATTCCGACATATCAAATAACCTTAAGGTAAAGGTGGAGAGATTAAGAGTGATTTTGTTGTAGTAACTATGATGTTTTCACTTATAATATAGAATATTATTTACGGAACTTGAAATCGTAATTGCCTATTAACATAGGATATAGAATACGATAATATATATTTAGAATGTGTTGGGGCCTTAGTTTTGTAGAACCATTGTATTCAAAAAAACAAGATTACCATATGTAGTCAAGTTATCAACTTCAGGGTAAGTAGAAAAGAATCGTAATGATATCTTGTCTATGTGTCTTGTATTTTATAATTAAAATAAGAAGAACCGATTAACTTACTTTGAACAAATATGGAATCGCAGTACCCGGTGAATCTTTCAAGTTGCTAACACATGTGAAGAATTGTATTTTGTCGAAATCAGTGTTAATCCGTACGGATATTGCTTGTACCATTTGATCATAAGTGTACCTATTTGGCATTTCAAGAATTATTTCGGGTTCATTAGGATTAGATTTATCCAAAAAAATTACTTCTGTACGAAACATTACGTCTAAGAAGTAGTCCTTCACAGTTGGCACATCCATATTTGTTTTGGTATAATCCTTCTCAAATACAAGTATATAGCCTTGTAAGTTATCAGATAAATCAAGTATATTTTTTAACGGCTCTTTTATATTGATTATATATTTTTTGGTATATTCATCATATATTTTCAATTTAGTGGCCAGGTCAAAGCCAAGCTTCGCATTTACTTCAACTATAATATCCCAAATAACTTTATCCAATGGCAGCTGCGCACAACCAATGTAATTCAGTGAATTATTTAGTGCATCATAAAATTTTATGAACATAAATATATCCTTCTTTGCATCAAAAGTTTGGGACATGGTTAAAGGTACATCTGGCGGCGCAATTTCGAGAAATATAGACCATGGTTTATATCGTGTTGTAATAGATTCAAGCGCACGATAACCATCATGCTCTATATCATAAAATGCCATTTTTTGATTTCTTCCTTGCGATAAAAATACAGTCCAAATACGCATTCGATTTTTTGGTGTACAACATGCTTTAGATATAATGTTCATCATTTCATCCACTGTTGCTGTTTGTTTCACTTTGATAATGTGATGAAACACATCCTCTGGATCAAAGAGCTTTTGCCTCTGATGTAATTCAAACACATCTTCAGTTAAAATATTAATCGTTATATAGAGTTCAGCTTCAATAAAGTATTTTATTTTAGAGACTTCTATACGCTCTACTTCATCGAGTCGTTCTAATAACTCATATGGAATATCTTCCTTTGTAATATTGGCAAGAACATTACTTAGTTCGGATAAACGTATGTAGACTAACATATAAGCATTACTGCATTTAGGTTGAAATGATATTTTATCATCCATTCCGCCATAATTCTGTTCAATCGCTTCAGTTTTACTGCAACTCGAAACAAGATCGTCATTAAATTTGAACCATTGGCCATCCGCTTTTGGATTTATAAATACTACATAATGTCCGCCATTATTATCTCCTGAGTGAACCAGTACAGCATGTAAAACATAATCGGCAGGTGTTTTTTCTTTCTCCAACAAAAACTGATCAAGATTTATTTGTTCATAAAATTCAAATCGATCATTATATTTAATTGAGTTATCTGTTATGGGGTCATATTGAAAACGCATTAAATGCAAATGTAACACTGGGGGGAATGCAGTAAAGATGACACCCTTGCTAGCCTCCTAAAAACAAAAAAAGAAAATTTTAGAGATATATTGATTCTATAGCGAAATAAAAGTAAAATAAGAAAACTATAAGTAAACCTTTTATAATTAATCTTTTTTTTATTTAATTCAAGAAATTAAAAACTAGCAACAGTTTTTTTAAACAAGGCTGACCAAATCGTTTGAAAATAATTTTATTATACTTTGTGATACACACCTGCAGACCATAAAGTCCGGCGTCATATTTGTTATCTCCATTGAGGTTTTCGGAAGCAATATATTCTTTAAACGACTCAAAAATATCTTTTTTATCTTTAATATTTAGTTGTATATCATAAAAAGTTTCGTAGCGTATACTATTATAGTCGACGTTCTTACATTTTATGTATGATGACATTTTACCTTCGAAAAGCCTGCGCATTGTACCCTCTAAGGACGTATTATTCATTGTAGTCTCTAGTTTGTCGAGTAAGATCCTTAAAAATTCTTGAACATCATGTTGCATGAATGAATCTAGAGCCTCCCATCCAAAGGATTTAGTTAATATTTTTGTTCCAACTGGATAATCACCGGATTGAAGTTCATAAAATATCCTTTGTAGCGATAAACCAACCGAATCGGAGCTATCATCAGCTTCTGTAGGTATTTTATAAACAGCTTTACGTAGTTGGTTAGTAAAGAATAAAGTTTGCAATATCGAATTCATATAACAGGTAGCACCTTGATTTTTCAGACCCACATAGCCAGTATACTTTTTAGAATCCCACATTATTCCACGTGGAATATCAGCAACTATATGAACTTCAAACGTTACACATTCATTGTTTACAAGACACTTTTCTGGATCTATTAAATCTTGCCACGATATAAAATTTGCGTAACCATAATCTTTGTCTTTAGTGCAGAATATGTGTTTAATACGTGTACGAGTATATGGAGGTGCATCTGGCTTGTGGCACTTAATACGCAGCTCGGCATAAGCCTTACATGACCATGCCGTCCAATCAATATCCCCCCGACATTGCAAGAAGAATCCCAGTGCTCGTATATTAGGTAATACCATTATTTTCCACGGCAGCAAACGCACATATACGGCTGGTGAATATTGTGTTTGATATTTTATAAGTTTTGCATATTCAACAGCATATGAAAATGTTGCTTCCGATCTATATTGATCAGTCTTCAAATCATCAAAGGATGTTATTTCCTGATCTTTTGAACATGGAAAATCCTTATCTTCGGATAATTGCGACGTCAACATATTACCATTATTTTGTTCCAGCTGATGTTGTAATTCAGTGTTCACATTTAAAGCAGAATCTTGTTTATCAGATGTTTCTGTACTTTCTTTTTTGTCCGAGTCTACATCCATTTTTAATCACGACGTAACGCCTCTTTTTAACAGTTCTGAAAGTTCTACACAGTTCCGTTAGCCTTACCTATCTCAGACACTAACTTTCATTTAATTTATTTTAGATTCGATTTTAGATCCGCCATTTTACGTTTAGTATTTTTATCTCTTTCACACAACATATGCGTATCCTTTGTTTATTTTACAGTATTTGCGGTACTTTTTAGCGTAGCCACCAGCAATTAACTTTTTGAATTTTTTTCAAATAATTTTAATTAAAATGTATAAGATGATTTTTATTATTTTAAATTTAATTAGTACAATATACTTAATTAATTAATTAATTTACAATGCTATTACAGTTATTAAAATACTTCAAAGTTTAATTACTCATCTATAAGGACAAATAATCAATTTTTATTTTATAAACACTTAAATGCTAGTATTTTCTATACAATGACGTAAAAATGTTATAAAATTGATATCAACTTATAAAACATCTTCATGCACTTTATAATTTACTTTTTTACGTAATATTTAAATTTAATGCAATACTGTAATTAATATAAACATTTACACAATTATTTTTCTCAGTATATAAATTTCTTGCGTATGTAAGCCAACGAATCTCAATAGGAAATCAATTAAAAATTGTTGAAAAATTAATAGAAAAATAATAAATAAATTTTAAAAAACTTTTAGTCTCATTCAAATTATTATATATTCGTGTTAATGTGTTTAATGCTCAACAATGAATTAAAATATAACACTAACTTGACTTATTCCCCACCATTGTTGTTGAATTCACCACTGGACTAATCTTTGTAAGTCAACAAGTTTTTTTTATAAAAAAATAACTATTTATAAACTTAAAAAATATAAAATATTTTATATTCATAATGGTAAAATTTTATGAAATAATTAAAATAAATATTAAATATTAAAAAATATTTCTTCTGACGCCATTTGACACAGATATCTTGCAGATATGTTCTTGTTGTGACCAATTGGCGCCATTTGAAAGCTTTGCAAAACATATGTTTAATCTATACAGATTACTAAAGGATTTGCTTATATAGTTTTAGGGAAAAGTTTATTACGCCTTAGCGTATTTTGTCAGTCCCAGTTCGCATTCGATTTTTAATAGCTTTGTGATTATTTGCTTCAGCAACTTACCAACATGGGCTGGGGCAAGACTAATTTTGTAAATTTTTTCAGGCAACATTTTTAAGATATGTCTTTACAACAATAGACATTTTAAATAAAATTTCAAAAGAACATGTATACTACCAAGACTTAAAATATAGTGAAATACGGTTTTTATATAAAGCTTTCATTCCTGTTACATATTTTGATGTAATACACACCAGCATATTAACACTGTGAAGTGACAATGACACCATATATTACTACAGAAATCGCGGCCATTCAATAAATGTATTGTTTAGATGCAATACTAATTACTTTAACACTTACGCAGAAGGCAAGTTTCCTGGAACATTGCACGATGCATATATTATGTCTGTTCCACTAGCTGCTCATAGTAAAATTCAAGTAAAATACAAGTAAAGTACAAACTGAAAGCGTAACTCAAATAAAGTGCTAAATTTGGTCTTTACACAGATTTTCATGCAACAGCTTTGTGTAAAATCCAAAAATTAAATTCAAACCAAAACAGCTGATTCACACTTCTCACAAATTTTACTAGAAATTAAATGTACGAGTAAAGTCAGATGCTGTCATCAACTCGTAAATTTGCTGGTGGAAGGCACTTGTGTATACACAGTGTTTCTCAAAGTTACTACGAGTAGCTCGTGAAACAGCCCTATTATATATGGTGCAGACCAGCAACATAGAAACATTTAAAATAAACTTATTTACAAGATAAATGTAAAGATTTTTGGCTTCTGTGTAATAATGGTTTTCCATTACAGTCAGGACTCATAACTCTATTTATTTCAGTCAAAAATCCACGAACGAAGAATATAATAAATATCTTAAGAAAAAGCACGTAATTTAATAGAGCGTTGTATTAGAATTTTGAAAAGTAGATTTCGGTGTCTATCCTATGAAAGGATTCCACCCTATAATTCTGCTAAAGCTGAGGGCAAAAAAAGGTTTATTGCCATCTAACGACAGAATTCAAAAGGAAATAGCAGAGTGAGTGTGAATATTGATATGATTGTGGAAAAAAGTTTAGTTTTCGAAATAATTTTTACTTAACACAAGGCAAAAGTAAACGGTGGCAAGTTACTGATACATATTATTTAATTAAACATTACAAATAATTATTATTGAAATTATTGATAATTAAAACTTTTATAAATTGAATGACAATTATATTTGTAAGCATTTTGATAAGCATTCATAAATATAGTGTTTTCAAATTTAATAAACGTTAATCAACGTTAACTAGTCTCCTTTTGGTAGATTTTTTTTCTTCCTCTTGTAGCCTTCTTTTAGAAGTTCTATTTTCATTTTCTTCATTTCAATTATTTCTCTTCTATACTCTTGTTTTGCAGCAAATTTATCTTTTTCGAATTGGAATTTTATTTTCTCCAGAGCCAACATTTCCTCTTTTACCGACTTACTATTATGTCTCGACTTCTTTTTTCGCTGTTTAATAGTTTCGTGTGCTGAGCATTTTGATTGTGCAGCCTGAGGTTGCATAAGCTCTTCTTCATCTAAACATTTAGCATACAATTTCTCCTAAAAAAGGAAATTAATAAATATTATAAATCTGGAAAACATGCATGCTAACTGTCATATTTTCAGAAGCATGTTTATTGCTAAAATCACACATCTCCTCCACTGATGACTTTTCATCGACGACCGGGGGTGCCATGATCGGAATCATTCGCTTTTTGACGTCACTGTGTACCTTGGGCTTGCTCATGCAATTAACATCAGTACTCTTAATGGGTGTAACAGCCGCTTTGTCCTTAATATGATTTCTAAAAATTGTAGAAATGTTGACAATTTATATATAACATATACGTAATTTATATATCCTTACTTCAAATCTAACCAGAATTTCCGCCATTTCTTACCACTTTTATTAGCACCACCAAGTCCATTCAGACGTTCAGCCAAAATTTTCCATACTTTTTTCTTGACATGAGAACTACCAAATAAGAAAAATATAAATTTAAATGCAATTAAATATTAAAGTGCTTAATATTGTGACATAGCAATTTTTATATGTACTAAAATTTATATATAACATCAAATTTTAATTTACCTGTCCTTGGAAAATTGTTTATTGCTCTCTATAAATTCTAGGAGTACAAGCTTTTGCTGCTCACTTGCTTTTTTATCATTTTCCATTTCTAGAACATATAAAAAAATAATATGTACAAAATTATATTATAATCTTACACAAAGCTTACTATTTTCGTTTTTTTTTAAAACAGACCGCCAAATTCACCGTGGAAAATATTTGACAGAACTCCACACCTTTTGATATAAAAGTTCACCATTCACAGTTCAGAAATTGCAAATTCAAAATATTCAAAATGTAAGCAAAATTTTGTGTAGTCTTCAATTTACACAGTTGAGGATAAAGCCCCCAAGAGCACAGACACACGATGCACTTTATTGGCGTTTGCAGTTTATATTAAAATTTAACAAATTATAAATGTGTTATTAAAAAGTAACGATAGATAGATAGATGAAATTGTGAAAAAGAAGTTTAAATAGTTTTATGTACAATTTTCACTAAACAAATAAAGGAAAAATAAATATTTAAAAAACTGTTGGTTACTTGATAATTAATAGAATATTTTTTTCTGATAAATCTAAGCATATTTCAAACAAAACAGTTCACATCAGGTAATTGTTAATTTAATTGAACACCAATTAAAACGAAAATATTTATAAATAGCTTAACCAATTGGGATCTATAATTTATTGTTCAAAACAATATATTTGATCTATTCCATTAATAAATATCGGAAAAACGATGATATTTGAATTTTGATATTTTAGTTATGTTATTAATAACGTTTATAATATAATTCTAAATTAAATAAATTTGTACTGGTTATAATATTCTTCTTCTTATTGAAAATACAAAATAAAGATCAGTCAATATTAAACGTAAGAAGTGAAATATTTAGGAATAAGTTACAAACAGAAGAAAAAATCGGAATATTTTTATTAGAAACAAAATTATAGCAATGTGTTTGCTGTAATACACAATAGTTTTTAATAACAAAAAACTATATAACTATATATATTTACTATAATATGCAATAGTTTTTAATAACAAATAGTATATAACTATATATAGCAGCAAATTTTGGAAAGTATAATATATATAATATATACATTTCAGAAATTATAGAACTTTTTCGAAAAAAATACTATGATAATATCATCATATCCATAAAGTTATTTTATTCATGCAAACCTGTAGAGTTACAGTCATATTATTTTTGCTTAAAATAATAAAATAAGTTATTATAATTCAGTTAATATATATATGTACATAAATTTTGGTTTAATTTTTCGTATCGTATTAAAATTAACAATTTCTCACGCAATTCTTTCCCATCAGCAAGTTTGTGATGTTATTGTGAACGTTAAGCCTAATATAAAAAATAGAAATCGTGATTAAAATAATTTTTTAATATCTGTTTGAAGAATAATAAAGCTTTAGAAGATATCGTAAGCCCTTCCTCCAAATATAATTATTGCGTGCGATTAAATTCATTAGCAATATACATTTTACTGGATTTATATTCAGTAAATCTAATTTACTGTAATATAAATTTATTTATAAAATTTAAATGTATTTCAAATGAAAATAGATTGTAAATTGAGTTAACGCTTTTGTGGCTATTGTTACTAATAAAATTGTATAAAAATTTATTACTTTACGTTTTTTTTATTAATAAATAAATATTAATTAAATTTTAAATTTATTTCCCAACCTGGTTTTGTTAATAATATATTTTATATATTTTATATACGGCTACAGGTCACCTTTTTCTAAAAATTAAACGTTTGTTTAATATTTTTTAATATATTCTATATTTCGACACTCCTTGAATATAATTAGTATAAAGATCATGTAACTAATCATTAAAATATTACAAAAACTGTTGTGATTATCTTTTTAGAGTTTCTGATGATGACTCTCAAGGACAGTCGAAATATGGAATATCTTAAAAAATAATAATAAAATATATAAAAAAAACATTATTAATAAATATAAATAATTATATTCTATAGACATGAACGGACGGAAGCTTACGTTACGAATTATGTATTTGAAATAAACGTAAATAAAAAAAAGGTAAAATTAAATCAGCATAAAATGTCTCATATAAACAAGTACCGAATATTGTTATGTTTTAATAATTTTTTTCATAATATTATTAACGCAATATAAAGGAAATATATTTAAAAAATTAAAATGAATTTTATGTTAATTAACTTGACGTGGTTTTTTTAAAAAAGTTTAAAATAAGAAATATTTTTTTTATGTTACATATTTTGGATAAAAATATCTTACCTTGATCCAAATTATCAAATTAAAGCTGCACTTTATTTTCTTTCATTAATACTTTTGTAATATAATGTCATGGATCCACAATGGTGCATAGTTTATCCCGCAAACTTTTCATAGATTACATCGGCTGTTTTTATATATCTTACATCATCTTCTTTTTTTTCTTTGTTCCTAATTGTTCCTTACTAATTTATATTCTTTGTATTATTCTTCAAAGTTTCCATTTAAAGGAGCTGAACGTTTCCAGCTGTAACATCTTTAAATCCTACATCACATGTAAGTCTGATAATATCTTTAATGAAGTTCTAGCTTATGTGCTTTTTTTTTAAGACAATGCATAAAGGCTGACAGAAATTTATGCTGAACTACATTTAAATTTTTAACAGATTTTTCACTCTAAGCCCCTTTGTTATTTTTGCTAGTTTTTAATAAAAATACCTTCAATAATTTTGTATATTTTTAATCAGAATTATATTCACAATAAGTTGAAGAAGAATGTTTGCTAAAGAATGTCTTTACTGTCTTTAATGGTATGAGAATTCTAAAGATTGAGAATATTGAAGCAACCACTGTCCACCGTCTGTAACTAGAAATTAGTAAACAATTAGTTATGAAAATGCTTAGAATTAAGCAACCAACTCAAATTAATATACTATATAATGTTTATTTTAATATTAATGACAAACACACTTTAATGAAAATTTATAAAAATATATAAAATATAAATAAATATAAAAAATTTGATATGAAATATGACTAATTCTGATTTTAGCCATGACCCCAAAAGTGAAGGTTAAGACCACTTTTCTATTTTCTTTTTGTGTATGTCTCTAAGCACAAGTAATGTACTTATTTACTATATAATTATTTTATATAAGTTTAAATTTAATTTTGGTTTAAAAAGATTACTGCAGTAATATAAAATTTTTAATTTCAGACAATTAGCCCAATCATCATTAAATATACTATAAAAAACGAATATGTTTCAATTAAGACATGGGACGTATATCGCAACAAATGACAAAGGCATAACATATTTAAAAAAGTATATATATATTTTATTTAAAATTTTTTAATAAATATAATAAATTATTTATTTATAGCCACGCTGTTGAAACGAACACAAGTTATTTTCAGAAATATCTAAATATATGTTCAGTTGTTTCAAATATAAATCTAAAAGATTTTGAAAACAAAAATGAATCAATACATGAGTATATAAAAGGTCCACTGAGGGACCACAGTTGGAGAAGGCTTTAAAAGCTACAACCGTGACTTGTGAAGAAATACCTATAAATGTTGGTGGCAAGGAATTAAAAACTGATCAAATTGTTTATCAGATAATGTCATATAACCATTTACACAAATTGTCTAAATTTTACTATGGGGATAGTAAACTAAGACGAAATGCTATTAAAGTTGCGGTAGAAACACAAAAACAATGGGACCGATCAGACACCTTTTAACGAGCATTTGAAAGTTTTGGAACGTACTGCAGACAGTATGGCGAGTAAATACAGGCAATATTTAAACGCAGATACAATGTTTAGTCAGCCGAAAACTGTAATTCAGATTGAAATCGATTCTTCACCAGATTTTATTGATTTCATAAGAAAAATTTTATAACAAATTTAAACTTCACTTATATTACAAAAATGCTGGTCAATTAAATGAACACCTATTTTCTTAAAGAATGTGGAAAATATCAACCAATAAGTGAAAATCTTAATGGTACTAAGAACTCGATGCGACATAGTGGTATTGATGATCTTTTAACTGCTATTAGACCTTTTCATTTTACAACAATTGGAGGAAATTTGGCTAGAAGTTGGGATGTTTGATAATAAGTTATATTGGTATTTATTAATATGAAATATATCAATATTCTGAAATTTTTTATCAAATCATTTATTTATAGTACAACTTTATATATTATTCCAGGTTTTTGAAGGTTCGGGCATTTTGATGTTTAAGAATGATTGTGCTCGAGCACTGTGAACCGCTTGAAACTGTTCCAACAACATGCACATCATAAATTTGGAAGGCGTCATCTATACAAATATGAACTGTACATTAGTTTTCGAATACAATATCTATATCTAGCAGGGTAACGCTATTCTATAGAAACCTCCGACAATTTTTAATTGGCGCATTCTCAATATTATGCATGAAATCAGTTTAACCGATTAAATACCACCCGATGAAACAGTTTTTGGCTATAACTAAGTCACCATATTCAGATGGCATAGCCTTAATTAAATCTGTTCCATGAATTGAAATTATTTTATAACTTGAAATATTATCTTAAATAAATGTCTACAGCAAATTTCATCGGCTGTGAAAACAATATAATAGCAATATAGACGACATCAACGACGTACGAAAATGTTCGGCTTGTTCGCCCATGTATGTACCAAAATCATTGTTATGTAACGTGATTTTTCCTATTTTTACTTAATCTATTTCCAATGAAAATTCGGTTTTATTTCAGGTGAAGAGTATTTTGAAGCAGAAAAAGCAGAACAACTAAAAATTGATGATGTTTAGGATACCACATCGTTTATATCGGCAATTATTGATAATAAAGCCCTTAATAGCATAACGTTTTATATTGAACATTGTTCAATATAAACAATCTTTGTATTCCTTCTTATAGAACATATTCAAACAATTGACTATTTTGTGACCCCTACAATTGTAGAAACCCAAGATCCCTTAGATAAAATCATGATCTTGAAAGTAAAAGTTAAAAGTGATTTTTCAACTTTTGAAGGCACAACCGAAAAGACTTGTGATGAAAAACTACAATAAGAAAATATTTTAATTTATTTCATGTTAATAAGACCACAGCTTCAAGCCAAATTTTCTCCAATTGTCCAGCTACTAGACCATCAATACCATGCTATCGCATGGAACTTTAAGATTTTGACTTATTGGTTGATACTTTGCACATTTTTTGTGAAGCTATTTGTTACAAAAGAGCTCTACCCCAATGAGAGGAGTACATGCATTCTTGTTTGCTAGAGAGTCTGCTATTTCATTGCCCTCATGCTCTTCATGTCCCAATACTCACATAAGATTAACATAGTTCCTCAATGATATGTTATTGAAAAGTTGAAAGAATTCCCAGACCAACTTGGATTGGAATGAAGAGTTTGCTAAAGATTTTGGAGCTATTTGGCTGTACAAAAGAATGCAGAGAAAGAATGGAAGCGATTTTTTTCACTGCGATTGCTTTGCGGAATTTCGGTCCTATAATTCCTGCTCCTGCACTGCCATATTCCGTTATTCTTTGAAGAAATAAGTGTTCATTGAATTAACCAGAATTTTTGTAAAATAAGTGAAGTTTAAATAAATTTGTTATAAAATTTTTCTTATGAAATCAATAAGTTCTGGTGAAGAATTGATTTCAATCTGAATTACAGTTTTCGGCTGACTAAACATTGTATCTGCGTTTAAATATTGCCTGTATTTACTCGCAATACTGTCTGCAGTACGTTCCAAAACTTTCAAATGCTCGTTAAAAGGTGTCTGATCGGTCCCATTGTTTTTGTGTTTCTACCGCAACTTTAATAGCATTTCGTCTTAGTTTACTATCCCCATAGTAAAATTTAGACAATTTGTGTAAATGGTTATATGACATTATCTGATAAACAATTTGATCAGTTTTTAATTCCTTGCCACCAACATTTATAGGTATTTCTTCGCAAGCTACGGTTGTAGCTTTTAAAGCCTTCTCCAACTGTGGTCCCTCAGTGGACCCCATGTATTGATTACTCATGTATTGATTCATTTTTGTTTTCAAAATCTTTTAGATTTATATTTGAAACAACTGAACATATATTTTGATATTTCTGAAAATAACTTGTGTTCGATTCCACAGTGAGACTATAAATAAAAATTTTATTATGTATATTTTTAATGATCATTAGTTATATATAAACCAACATTTATTTATAAATTTTTTATGATTATTATGATTTATAAATAAAAACCAAGATAGACAAATGAAGTAGTGAACTAATTGTAGTTTTAACTGAAATAAAAACTGTAATAAATAAAAGAAATTAATGTTGCTATTATTCTGTGTGAAATTTTAATTATTATTTCTTTCAAAAAGCTGTATGGACATTGCAGGCCCCATTGGCAACAATCTAACAAAAGCAGATTCGAATATATCTAAGTTTGTGCGTAATTTCATCGCTGTACATGAGACTTGAGTAACATATATCACCATGATCCTGAATCAATACAACCAGCTAAAGAATGATATGAAACTGACTATTCTCGGATTATTTTTGCATTCTTTTAGAGAAACACGATAAAAATATTAGAACAACGATAAAAATATTCAACTTAAAGAGAAAATAAATAATTTTCTTTTATAATAATGAACCTCAATATACTATCTCTGGATCTAATAACTTATAGTATGAATTGTTGCAACTATCAACTTATTTGGCAGTATTAACTTCATCTGTCTTGCTTTTTCAAACTTCAAAACATTTTTACGTTCGAAGCGATTTCCATCAATAGAAGCTTGCTTAGAAAAGATCATTTTCGTAGCTCAATATTTACTTTTTCATATCCGGTTACCGAAATTATTAAAAAAAACTTATATATAGAAAACATTGATATTTTATATTTTTAAATTAAGCTTAACAGCAACCAAACTTCAGATGTCGTTTACATAGAAATATAATTAGGATGTTGTTACCCTACTATGTAGTGTCATTATACTATAATTGTTTGCCTACTCTGACCAAGAGATATATGCTTAAATAGTATTAAAGAGTTTCGGCAATAAACCTATAAAATCAAATGAAGGAAGGTCATAAAAAAGCGAACATAGGTTAAGAACAATGTCACTTGCAAGCAATTAATTGTAATAGAATTATACCAATTTATTCCTCTGAGTTGCGTTTGTCATTTTTTATTGTAGTAAACATTATATACTTTATAATATATATAATTAGTTATAATTTTAATTATATTATAAATGCGAATGGTTGCTAAATACTAAATATTTTCATAATTAATCTACATCTGACATCTTTTTGAATAAAATATAATAGAAATTAATATTAACTTATTTTCCATCAAAAGTAAAACAAAAAACAATTATTTTAATCACGATTTCATTTTTTTATATTACGCATAAGTCTAACGTTAACAATAAGATCTTATGGGAAAAACGGATGGAAATTTGCTTGAAAACTATACGTTTGTATTCATATAATACGATAAGACAAATTAAAGCCAAACTCATATACATATATGTATAAATAAATACATATAAACTGAATAAATATAACTTCTCTCACTATTGTAACTCAAATTAATGTATCTGCACATATGCAAGCTTGCATATGGTCTATGGTCAATTACTCAACCCCACGAAAAACTAATTTCTCACCACAGTTTACAGTTTTTTGTACGCTGCTTTTGTTCTAATTATGAAATATGTACTCATTTTTGTTTTTTGTTTTTTGATATACAATACGTACAATAATATAAATACATTTTTCTTTTTACTACTGCTAGTTCAAGTACAGAGAACTATCAAGTACTTTTGTTATCTATATTTCTAATATTTATTCTATATTTCTAAATTATTATTTGACTACTAATTTAGGAGTAGATCTGAAGTCTCCTCAGCAGGTCACATATTTTTGATGTTTTACCGCAAACTCTTGTATTACTGCACCCACAGATTCGATCTTCGATTCCTAATGGAGGTCAGTATTTCTAATGAACCAAGAAGCGTTGACTAAGTTTCTTAAAACTTTGTTGTACTCATGACATTTAGTAATTTAACAGTTAAAATTAAAAGTTAAGCAAAGCAAAGTTAATACATCATATTAAGAATACTAAATATATATCGTGAAGAATTTAGAGCAATAAAATGTCTGTTAAAATGTGTTTAGATTTATAAGAAAAATTATACTGTATTAATTATCAAGTAACGAATAGTCTTTAAACATTCATTTGTCCATTGTTTGTTAAATGTTCAGTGAAAATTGCACTAAACCCACTTAAAATTATTTGTTCGTAATTTCGCTCATTTTCCATTTCTTTCTTTATAAGAAATTTATAAATTTTAATTGAATTATGAATTCTTATTAAATACAATAAACGACAAAAGGGAACACCGTGTATCTGTGCTTTGCTCTTTGGGAATATTTTATATGGCAATACTGCGATTGCCTATGTTCTTTTGCTTTTATTAATTGTCAGCAAAATTATTATTCAGCAATTGAAATTGCTTAGTTGACTAGTAACTGTATTTATAAATATTTTTCAATTATAAATGCCTATTTACTTAATAATATTGCATCCATCCATCTATATATAAAATGCATTGAATGTTACTAATAATGAAAAATATTTAGACAATGAAGAGTGTATCTGTAATGGAATACTGGTACAATATTGTACAATATCGTACGGTCTATGTTAACGATATAAACAATAGTTGGCGATTTACATATTTTGTCTTGGAGTTTTTATTAAATTATCGTGATGTGGTCAATTGTCAATTGTATTTGCTGCGGTATTGAAGGTATAAGCATACGTAGAAGCAATAAAAGAGATAAAAAAATTTAATATTTAGTAATTTCAATTTTAAATAAATGGACAATAAATGGAGAGCATGGACAACAAATAAAATAAGAGAAAGTTGAACAAGAGTTACCACTGGTTCATGAGACGGGCAGTAGTAAAATTGTGTTAAGATTATAGATACATTAAGACTGAAAAGTTTTCGGAAATTCTCATTTAAAATTCGCGCGCTGTATATTTTTCGATATTTTAAGTTTATGTAGTTTGGCAGCACTGTCCTTAATTACTATGCCAAAAATGAGCGCGATCTGTCAGCCAGTTCGTTTACGGCAGCTGTTGAAACCAGTTCACCTCAGTAGTGCGTTGCGAAATGTCTTCGACGGTCGTACGACCGTCCTGAAAGGCTTTGTACCACTCATAAACTTGAGTTTTCGATAAAACTGATTCCCCATAAGCCTTTTGTAGCATTCGCAACGATTCTGCACACGAAATTTCGTTCGAAACACAAAATTTGATGCAAACTCTTTGTTCAATATTTTTTTCCATTGTTTTTTTCGCAACGCACTACTGAGGTGAACTGGTTTCAACAGCTGCCGTAAACGAACTGTCTGACAGATCGCGCTCATTTTTGGCATAGTAATTAAGGACAGTGCTGCCAAACTACATAAACTTAAAATATCGAAAAATATACAGCGCGCGAATTTTAAATGAGAATTTCCGAAAACTTTTCGGTCTTAATGTATATTAACTGTGTTACGATTATTATAGACTCTACTCTACTAGCACATGATAACCTCGATTGTAGAATGAAATTAGAGCGAGAATAGTTTAGGTCACATTAATAAAAAGTAAAAATAATTGAGAGGGTTTGTGCCTTATAGCTTGAAGCAAGTCAATAGGTAATACCTGAATAATGGTGGGAGTGAAGTTTCATGCTATTTGCTGAAATATCTTTTAACAAGAAAGATTAATTACGATCATTATAAGTGCACGCAGAAAGTTGTGGTACGTTTTGAAGTAGTATGCTCTGCGGTATACTGATCTGATACCTTAGACTATTTTAACAAAAATATTTTAGGCACACTAACCATTTCTTTTTTTCCATAACAACTTATATGTGATAGTGAAGTTATATAAGATATATATTTTGTTGCAAATCTGCGCCTATTAATTACAATTGTACATCTCTAAGGACCTACCTATAAAGTATTTTCAATAAAAAAGGTAAGATAATACTATTAAAATTTATGAAAAGAATAGAAGTTAGAAGTTTGATTTTACTGACGTTTCAATAGCTTTCCCCCAAGTAGTCTTGCATCAAATCAATTTAATTTATTTAAAGCTATATATTAAAATGCCTCTGTATCAAAATAAATTTTTAGCTCTAAACTACTGCTAATTATTATTATAAGTAATTAAGTTAATTCCAGAAAACTTCGACGAAAAATATTTTATAATATATCCCCCTTGACATAATCATCGCTACACCGCTAAACTGATCTTATTCGGTTCGATGAAAACCACATGGAGGTTGTGGAAGCCTTTTCTGACAATTTTATTTATCATTCTGGACAAATAACCAGAAATTTACTTAGAAACGGGAATTAATTTCAGACCGAAACAAAGTTTAATTGCATAAATTTTATTTATTAGCAAGAACATTGTAAATATTCCGATGGAAGTTCTATAGTCGCCATTATTTAAGTAAGGTTTCAGTGACAAAATCGGCGCGCTACAGCCTTAACCTGTTATTATAGCACAGATACACGTTAATGATACGTCAAACCAGAAAGAGCAGTAGAAAGGGTATAAACATCAAAGTTTGAATAGTTCTCCAGTAATTTCGATTCTTTTAGGTGGGGAAGTCACTTTAGATCATTTTTTTTGAAAATGACAAAATTACGATGAAATTTGAATGACGTACGTATAAACGACCGCTTCTAGGACTCAGGAATTTATTTGGAACTTCATGCAGAGTTGACTTACAGATTAGACACACATGGGGAATAGACTTATTGATGTATGATAAATAACTTTTTAACATGTCCTAACCCTAATTAGCAATTACAGTTCTTGTTGCATGAGGAAGACGCATTTCATTTCCAGTGGTCTGTTGAAAGCCTTGTTGTTAAACAGCCATGGCTTTAAAGAGCATATTGCAACGGTATGAACGCAGAAAGTCCTAACCTATAATCGAACTCACTAATGGTATCTACGTTGCAGAAGGGGTTAATTTATTCTTGACACGAAGAGAGAGAGAGAGAGCGACGTACCCAATGAGTAGGAAGGGATCACCTATTCATTATGTTGCTATTTGGATATCCATCTGTGAAAGAAGTAACGTATCTGACAGTATCTGATTAGAGATAAAATAACATTTTGGTGGATAGTATGCGACATATGATAGCCGATTTAAGTTCGAAAAGTTGATTTTTAACAAGTTCCAAGAATATTCCAGTGCGTTTCGCAGACCTTTTTAATTTATAAGAAACAAACTAGCATAGGCAGTAATATGTTGCCGTATTGTTGCTTATGTGACCAGCAGGGTTTCATGATCAATTGAAACTATGCCTCTTCAGAGACAATTGCGATTCGCCCCTCCAAACAAAGTCAGGAAAGTAGGTATGTGTCCGTCTTGGAATTTGTTGTTCATTTATGTGCGCACTTTTTGATTCGATTTAGTATAGCCGAAAGTTGGTTTTAAGCGAAAAATTATTTACTTACTGTTGTCCTATTTTCCTCGTGGAGCATAGGACCCTGCCATAGATCTTTACCTAACTTTATTGTGTGCTTTGCGGCATATATCATTTCAGTTATAATTTGCATTATGGAGTTCTCTGTTTATTGTTGCCATTTCTGTCCACCAATTTGAACTGGAACGGTTCTTGTTGTGTACGGCTCCACAGGTCTTCATGTCTTCATTTCTTATTCTTTTAGACCAAATATTCTGCACAAGCAATTCTTTATGAAGGTCTGTTATTTTGAACTCCTCCATGTTTCACAGCCATAGAAGAGCACAGATTTTATATTTAATTCAAAGATGCGGAGTTTTGTTTTATGAGATATTTGACTCGATTTTGATATATTCCTCAGCACACAGAAGTTAGAGTTTGCTTTATTGACGCGCATAGCTACATCAGCAGCACTTCTAGCTGTGAGTACACTCTCCAGATAGACAAAGTTTTGCATACACTCTAAGTTTTCTTCGCCCAATTAAAGCGGTCATTGTGTGGAGCAGTACCCACTGCTCATAATTACTGTACTGTATTAATATTATAGATAATATTTTAATAACAGACGGACTTTGATTTTTCAAATAAATTTTACAAGCATTTGTTCTATACTAATTTTAAGATATTTTTATATATTGAAATATTATTTAATAAAACTCTTGCTTTTATGTTTTATTTTTATTTTTTGCCTTTATAATCCTCCTTCACACAATAAAGTAATTTTGTAATTTATAAACGTTTTCTTTTTGTAATTTAATTAACTTTTCTTAATTTATTAATAAGGATAAAATCAAAATGTAAAACAAAGTTAAAAGATTATAAACTCAATATGGTTTTATAACAACAAAATGCTCATATTTAGTATTTATTATATTATGAAATTATTTGTTATATCTTTATATTATTCACTTATTTATATTTTTCTTGATAACGCTCTTGTTTATTAAAAAAGGGGCAAGGGGTGAATAAATAACATGTTTTTTGTTTTTGTTTTTAGAATTTGTCACTAGATTTATTTACAAATTTAAGCAAATTTTGTTTCTCTTATAAAAAATAAAATAACATAGAAACAATAATAATTCATTAGATATATGTGTGTATTATATTGATAAATTAATGAAAATGTAAATGTATAGAATTTTGAATAAATTTTAAATTATAAAACAATGCAATAAAATTCATTTAAAAAAAGGAAAACATTTCAACGGCGAATTTAAAAAATATATAATTTATAATTAATTAATAAAAAGTACCTTTATATACCTTTGAGTTTTGCGTTACTAAAATATAAATATAAATATAAATAGACAGAAACACAAAAAGAGAGAAAGAGAGAGAGAGAGATAGGCGAACACAGTGTGAAAGAGAACAAACCCCTTCAAACATTTCTGGGTTACTGATATTGGTTGGTTCTATGTTATGTTTAAAGATCTAGTAATAATTAATTTTTGTATAAGTTTTAAATTTTAAATCTTAATATGTATTCTTCATAATTTATTTTTGCATCCGCTTGATTTTGTTCCAACATGCAATTTGCATTTTATTTAAAATAAAATTTGTTTAACTTGCAATGGAGCTAACTAATGTGATACACAAATTGTTAATTCTTTTACACCATCATCTCGCATAATGTTTAAAATAAAACTGCATTAAATTGAAAGCTTTCACGTTATAATATTTTATATATATAAGTTGTTAAATTTTTGATAAAACGTTTATTGTTTACTTAAAATTTTTGCGGTTTTGGAATTGCAAGTTCTTTAGATATTCGTAGCTATTATGCAGTTGTTTGTTTTGCACTATAAAGCTTTCTTGCAAATCAGTTTGAATCACAATGCGTATATTTATTTGCTCTAATTGTAAATTTTAATTGCCTTTTCGGAAAAATTCAACGATGTACGCTTTCGTGACTTATTTATGTGATCCAACCCAATACAAGAGCTAGCATGTGTCCATGATCTAAATTCGCTTAACTCTACAGGTGAGTTATCGTTTATTTCTACCGTATGACCCATAGAAATGAGTGTAAATTTGTATGTCTCCCATTCCTTGTCGGTAACATTGAGACGTTTTTGTATGCGTTGCTTGAGAGTACCGTAGGTTTCTCCATTTTTAGCTTTTATTAAAAATGGCACTCCGAATGCATTATATAGTTCTTTGCTAAAATGTGACACTGGTATTAACATTTCGTTTTCGGCCAATTGTAAATCTTCGGCAGGTACTTCTTCAATACGGAAAGTTTTCTGCGTATTTTGGGTGGTCATTGATTCATTTGGTTTTTGTAACGACTCAAGCGAAACATCTTCCTTAAAAACTGTAACAATTTTATGATTGCTAACTTTTAGTAGTCTCAATTTCCTTCGACTATTTTCTGAAAATTGTATTTTCTTGGCAGCTTCCTCAAGTAATCCTTTAACGTTTTCATTTTTGTTGGGATATAGAACCAGTTCCTTCTCATCTTTTAAATCGTTCGAAACCCAAACACATTTAAATTGCTTTTTATTGTCGAGTTCATGAATGCTGAGCGACAGTCTTTGATAATAAATCTTTTTTGATGTTCCCTTATTACCGTAATTAATTAATTCTTTGACAGTTCCCTGCAAAAAAAACAAAAAAAAATTAATTTTTTATTAATTTATAAAATAACATAATAATAATTATATAAAAATGATATGTAATAATCTTCTCTACTACAAACAATAGTTTATATTAATAATTTAGTTTCTTTCGTCAAAACGGACGTTAAAAATCAATATAATAATCTCAATGTAATAATAATCACAATAATTTAGAGCTAGAATTAAAATTTCGCCTGAATATATTACATTACATGCAATCAGCATATTACGGAGCTGGATATTTTTGATAAACGGCTGGAAATAATGATTAAATATAAATGGCCAATAAATATAATGGCTTTGTTTATGGCCTATCAACGTATCTACGGTAAAACGTGGGGAATAAACTCTAAACTAACCTTTTGATCATAAAAAACCATGTTGATGGTTTAATATTCATATTATTACTTGTGGAGCTGTTTCAATGTAGCCATAAGCCCAACAAATAAATGCCTAAATGTTTAGAAACTGCCATTGCTAAAGTATTTTGTCCACTGTCCACTGAAAATGTGCACCAGAATCGACATGGAGGCGGAACTATACTACTAATAGCTCTATAATACAGAAAGAAGCAATAACTTTTCGTTTTCTCAATATCCTTTTCTACATGGAGGGTGAACTCAAGCTAGCCTTTCATTTTTTAAGATATCCTACGTGGAGGCAACTTCCTGTAACTTTAAAACGATTTTTTCTAAAAGCAGCGAATAGAGAAATAAGGGGTTTACACAGCCACCAATCATGTTTGTTTGGTTCAGTGATGGATCAAAACTTAAAAACTGACAAAGTGATGCTAGCGTCCATAAACACAGATTTTTTTCTAGTTTTTTAGGTAGTAATCATTATCATTAAAATTTGTGCTATAAAACGATCAACAAAACAATCCAAAATCGTTCCAAACTTATATCACCAAATTTAAATTAGAATTGGCGTATCCAATAGTTTGGATACCTGGTCTTAAGGAAGTCGACTGTAACGAATTAGATGACAAGCTTGTGAATGTGGGAACACCGAACTCCTTCATACCACCCAAGCCCTTTTTTGGAACGTACTCTTGCCGACTCTAAATTCCTAAAGCAGTCCATTGCAGCGTCTTTTATGCAGAGGTAATGGCAATATAGTATATACGAAGTTGAGAATCCCACGAAGTCTTATATGAATACAGCAATTTTCTCGGAAAGCACAGTTGCAATAAAACTCCGGTAGGCGTTCTTACTGCTCTCTTTATAGTTCAAAAATATTGGACTTCTCTCAACGAGTTGTCTAGGTTTGTCTAGACAGAAATGTTGTTTGACCTTGTTATGGACGATACACTGTTGAAACGTATTAGGATGATTAATAAATATTATAAAAACAAAACTGTAATGAATCTTAATCGTTGATATGCTTTTACATCGATATATATATATATATATATATATATATTCAATGTTTACTACAAACAACAATATTTGATTGGCATCATATTTGTGCGCATATAACTCATTGATTGAATTCGAAGGAGGATTAAGCCAATCAGGCCTCTTCCTTGACTACGTGTGTAAAGTCAATTCATATTTATGTTAAAATTGATGTTAATAAATAAGTAAATAATTTCGCCCATGAACTGTATGTTGACATAAATTACTTCTCTAATTAGTGCTTTGTTGTAATGTAATTATCTAACAATTAGCTTGTACTTCGTTCGGAGAAAATATTATTGAAACTAATTGTACTCTTTGTGGTGGTGAAGTTTTACTAACTCTCACTCCGCACACGTAGCAGCAACAACACATAATAACAATTATGTAATGTTATACACACAATTATATATATTTGTGAAAGTATATATAATTGTCGATATAACAGTATTATTTAAATTTAGGGAGGAAAAAACTATTTGAACACAGTACTCAAGAACAAAAAACTAGTACGGATACTAATTGTTGTTACGAAAAACAAAAGAGAATACATATATTTCAAAATCAGAGAATAAAATATATTTTCGCTTTGACTACTTTTTGGTGGATTCTTAGTGAAACGGATATTCCAGCCAATTACAGAGAAATCTGCCAAACATAGTTCCTCGGGAAGTTATCTTAAAAATCCGGACATATTACGAGCTTCATAAAAACATATTCTTTCAACGATATGCAGATACATCTGTGTAAGTAATGTGATCTGTCGTTTAATATAAGAAAAGATCTTAAGCCATTTTATTGGGATGTCGCTTATTGTGAGTTTGTAGTTGGATCACTTTTTGGCTAGATAATCGTTAGTGTAAGGACAAAAAAAGTACTTCACATCAGCTTTGTCAATGATCTGGAGATGCGCTTGAATATGTTAGAATCTTAATCAGTTGCAGGACCACCTTATGAGAGTATTTTCAGCTTTGTTAAAGGTTTTAGATGGTTTTAAACTCTAACTTTATTACTTTCTAAAGTAATAACAGAAATATCACTACTTAAACTGTCGCAAATTAATGAAACACCATTAATTGAGAATTCTAAAATAGGACAATGTAAAACATAGTCACTTATTATTTGGAGCGTAAATGAGCACAGAGTACCAATAACTACAGAGTATAAAGTAGGCAATATAGTAAAGGAAATAACTTATTTTAATGTTTTTAGCATTTGTAATAAATCTGAGAAGGTGTAAAAGTAAGAGTTCCATAGAAAACTTATAATGTCTGTCCAAGCTTAACCTTAACCAATTAATATGACGTTATTATATATATACAGAGTTTACTTTGTCTGAAAGAGCATTACAAAATATAAACTAGCTGAAAAAAAAAACACCTCATCAAAAATAACAACATATAGATCAAGAAACAATATAGAGGAAAATAATGTCCAAATTATGTTATTATATATTTATCGTACTTATATATTTGATATTGTAGCATAAGATACATTTGATTAGTAGTTGCGTTCTAGTTTAGTGAACTATAATACTCAAATAGGTAAGAACAAGATACACTACTATTCAAAAATGATTCTATAAGTAAAACAGTTTTCTTTCATCATAATCAACTTTTAAAAACTAAATATTACTCAATTTTTTAATAAAACCTAATATATTAACTCAAACATATTAGATATAAACGCATTTATACTTGCTGTATAATATATTCAGTTGGTTTATAACAATAATGTTGATTCCATGGAATTATATTTCTTTCTAAATATCTGTATAAAACCTGCATTGAGTTGAAATCTATAAATTGAAAGCTATTATATTTAAAGATTATTAGTTTAATTTGTTGATTTAATATTTAAAATGGAACTCACCGAAATATTTAAAATGCAAAACCCGAAATTTGAAAGCAACGCCTAGTGATTAGAAGATCTAGTTATAGACCATTTATGTTCATTGCTAGTAAATACGGTTCCGACAGGAGATTAAAATAATCTTTTACAATATAAACTAAATGATAACAGTAAGTATGCGTATATAACATTCTCCTACTGTTATATAATACCGTATCACTAGTTTTGCCTTTCTACTTCAAACACATATTGCTATACGTCCTTTTCTCACAGTGTTATAAAGTGAAATACACAACGCAGCTAATACACTTTTGTTAGACATAAAAAAGAAAGACGCAATAAAACTGGAAAAACAAATCTTGTTCTTCATCTATGATCAAACAGAACCGCCTGACCAATAAAGTACAAACAAGAAAAATAACACTATCCAAGTTTTATCGATAGAAGTGAGCAATAACTTTTGCCTCTTTATGATAAAAACAAATACCAAAATCTGAATTAAGTATTAAGATTTCTCACAGTGAAGAGAGTAAAAAAAATTATTGACTGAAACGAAGAACTTTACTTGTCATTACCTGGTCACTAGAAAACATTAAGTTATTTCGTCTATTATGTAGATGTACGTTCGTTATTACCGAAACATATGTTTCTACCTTATCATTGAAGTACCATAAATGGCCGTTTCAGTATTGCTTATCAATAATAACGATTAAAATTTAGTTTATTTAGTAGAAAATTGTTTCCCCAACTTAACAATTCAAAAATTTTTTCCTAATTTTTCCTAATCAAATATAACCATATGATGGAGGAAGAGAATGACAGCTAATTATCGTAATTATATTTGATATTATAACATAATATACGTTTGACTAGGACTTGCATCACAATTTGGTGAACTATAATTCTCAAATAGTTAGGAAGAACAAGATTCACTATTATTTAAAACTCCATCTATTAGTAATACATTTTCTTTCGGCATAATTAACTTCAAAAAATTAAAGATTATTAAAAATTCGCAAGATGTTAATTTCATGCCCACTTAAATTGTACTGCAACACTATCTATTATATGTGCATACATTTGATATTGAACTGTTATATAACTACTTATTTAAAAAAACAAAAAAAACAATTGAAAAAATATACATTATTTGTGATAAAGCCTGGAATAGATAATTAACATAATTGACACGTAAGCAAAACTTATATAAGAAGTAAAAAAATGATATTGTATATATCTTTCATAATAAGAATAGTAAATTAATGAACTTACTTTAAATGAGTACGGAATCGCATTTCCGGGTGAATCTTTGAAGCTACTAACACACGTGAAGAATTGAATTTTGTTAGGATCTGTATTAAGTCGTTCAGATACTGCTTGTACCATTTGATCATAAGTGTTTCTATTTGATAATTCAAGAACTATTTCCGGTTCATTTGGATTACATTTATCACAAAAGGTGACTTCTATACGATACACTAAGTCTAAAAAGTAATCCTGTACTGTTGGTAACTCTAATTTCGTATCAATGTGATCCTTTTCAAATATAAGTATGTAACCCTGTAAGCTATCGGCTAACAAATACAGTATGCTTTCCAGTGGCTCTTTCAGATTGATTATTTTTTTTTCAGAACATTCGTCGTAAACTCTTAGCTCTGTGTCAAGATCAAAGCCAAGGGTGGCATTTACTTCCAACACAATATCGCAAAGACGTTTAGTTAATGGTTGTTGTGAGCAACCGATGTAATTTAAACGCTTATTTGGTGCATCATAAAATTTAATAAACATAAATACATCCTTCTTTGCATCAAAACTTGGTGACATGGTTAAAGGTACATCTGGCGGCGCAATTTGAAGAAATATAGACCATGGTTTTTGAGGTGTTGTAATAGCTTCAAGTGCACGATTACTATCATGCTCTAAATCAAAAAATAAAATTTTTTGAGTTTGCGGCGTACATAAAGTCCAGATACGCATTCGTTCTTTTGGTGTACAATATGTTTTGGATATAATATCCATCATTTCATCCACTGTTGATGTTTGTTTCACTTTAATAACGCGGTGTAGTACCTTCTCTGAATCAAAGAGCTTTTGTTTCTGATGTAATTCGAAAATATCTTCGGTTATAATATTAATTGTTATATAGAAATTCGCTTCACTACGATCTTTTCGTCTAGCCATTTCTATGCGTTTCTCTACATCAAGCCGTTCGGTTAATTCAGATGGAATATCCTGTTCCGTAATATCGGCAAGAACACGACTTAGTTCGGATAAACGTATATAGACTAACATATAAGCGTTACTGCATTTAGCGTGAAATGATATTTCATCGTCCATTCCGCCATAATTCTGTTCGATCGCTTCAGTTTTACTACAACTCGAAACAACATCGTCATCAAATTTAAACCATTTACCATCCGCTTTTGGATTTATAAATACTACATAATGTCCGCCATGATTATCCCCTGAGTGTACCAGTACAGCATGTAAAACATAATCGGCAGGTGTTTTTTCTTTCTCCAACAGAAACTGATCAAGATTTATTTGTTCATAAAATTCAAATCGATCATTATATTTAATTGAGCTATCTGTTATGGGGTCGTATTGGAAACGCATTAAATGCAAATGTAACACTGGGGGGAATGCAGTAAAGATGACACCCTTACTAGCCTCCTAAAAACAAGAGAAGAATGTTTTAGAGATTAATTGATTTGATTCTACAACGAATTCATAAAAGTAATATAAGAAAACTATAAGTGAACTTTTTATAATTAAACAATTTTTTTATGTAATTTAATAAATTCAAGAATTAACAATAATTTTATTAAAAAAACAGAACAGAACAGAACTGGTTGAAAATAATTTTATTGTACTTTATGATACCAACCTGAAGGCCATGAACTCCGGCATCATATTTGTTATCTCCATCGAGGTTTTCGGAAGCTATATAATCTTGAAACGAGTCGAATATATTCTTTTTATCTTTAATATTTAGTTGTATATCGTAAAATGTTTCGTATCGTGTACTGTTATAGTCAACGTTCTTGCATTTTATGTATGATGACATTTTACCTTCGAAAAGACCGGGAATTGTGCCTTCTAAGCATGTTCCTTTCATTTTAGATTCTAGTTTATCAAGTAAGACCCTTAAAAATTCTTGCACATCATGTTGCATAAATGAATCTAGAGTTTCCCATCCAAAGGATTTAGTTAGTTTCTTTGTTCCCACTGGACGGTCACCAAATTGCAGTTCGTTAAACACCCTTTGCAACGATAAACCTACCGATTTGGAGCTGTCATCAGCTTCTGTAGGTATTTTATATACTGCTTTCCGCAATTGGTTCGTAAAATACAATGTTTGTAATAATGAATTCATATAACAGGTAGCACCCTGATTTTTCAGACCTACATAGCCAGTATGCTTTTTAGAGTCCCACAGCACTCCATGCGGCGCATCAGCGACCACATGCACCTCTAACGTTATGGAATCATTGTGTATATAACATTTTTCTGGATCCTGCAATTCTTGCCACGTTATAAAATTTGAGTAACCATAATCATTCTCTTTTGAATAGAACAAATGTTTTATACGGGCTCGAGTGAATGGAGGTGCATCTGGCTTGTGGCATTTAAGGCGAAGTTCGGCATTAGCATTACATGACCATGCAGGTGACTCATTTTCTCCATTACATTGCAGGAAAAATCCTAGCGCACGCTCATTAGGCATCACCATTATTTTCCACGGTAGCATACGCACAAATACTGCGGGTGATAATTGCTGCTGTTGCTTTAAATGAGTTACATCCTCAACAACATATGAAAATATTGCTTCCGATCTAAACTGATCATCCTTCGAATCGTCAACGGATGTCATTTCCTGCTCGTTTGAATATGAGGAACTGTTATCAGCAAGTAATTGCCGCGGCAGCGTATTACCATTTTCTAGGTGAAGATGTTGGTTAGTGTGCAGTTTATTTAAGTTCTGCTGATGCTGTAAGTCACTTGTAATTATTTCAATTTCTTGTGTATCCATTGCTTCGATCGATTGCTCTGGCTCTATTTCCATTTTCAGCAAAAATTATCTTGTAAAATAAATAGCACTGGGCTCGGCTCTCTTTATTTCCACCAATTCTGATAATTATATTCTATATTGCTGCAGTTACCTATATGAAAACATGCATAAGGTATAATACGAATTATTTTCGATTCTTTCATTATTACGCGGAATTTGTTTATATATATTAATATTTTTACAAATTATGATTATCCTTTGTTCTTTTATTTCTTACCTGTCAATTTTATTTGTATTTTCGAAATTTTAACTTTTGTACTTCCTTATTCTGCAACCAGCTTTTATTTTCCGACAACAACAACAATAAAACGATTTAAGGCGATGACAGAACACAGCAAAATGCAAATTTGCAAAATCGTAGTTTTCACGATAGTTCCGATAAAAAATATATTATATTACGTTGAATTTAAATTTATTTATTTAAGCCAATTTAACTGGCATACTTTTAATAATAAATATTTTATTATATTTATATATACTTCTTCACAATTATGTTTTCACATTTTTTGCGAAATATAAAAGAAAACTAAAATTCTCGACTGCACACACACGCCATCTGTCATTCTTGCTGACTATGAGCGCCACCTGGATTTGATATCTGTTCATGGATATTGTTTGACATATACACATGCGATTGCTTATTACTTTTTATGTAATTTACTTGTATTATTTATAAAACCTATTGGATACAATTGTCTAAAGGAACGTTATATTCTTTTATGTTATTAAATTAAAAACATTTGTTTCATGTGCTACTGTGTGCAGCATAATTATCACAATATGCTTTAATTTTCTAGCATGCTACAACTATGTTTGCTGCGTTTAATAAGCATTTAGCAAAGAAGACAAACTGACTCCTGTCAAAGAGTATCAATGGTATAGAATATATATTCTTTGATTCACTTCATCTATTATTTTTCGGTTTGTATATGAAATTGCGCATAGGTGTAGCCATAATTATTTGCTTATATATAATTTATTGTTTATATATTATTTATTTATAATATTAATTTTACTATTCCTAATTTAACACTTTTAATAATTATGTGTTTCTGTTTATTTTAAAATTATATATGACACAAGATCATTCCTGTAGTCAGTCTTCTTTTACTTTAAATGCAAAGTTAAATCACCTTAAAATTATATATGTTATAATGAAATTGTTATGATAAAATAATCTGTTAAATCAAGTTCTACTGCTGTCATTAACCTATTAAAATATTTTCTCCTCTTAACTAAACAATTTCTTGTATCACATTTTATAAAAAAATATAATTTATTTAAAATATGTGTTGTTTTGTTCTTTATGAAGTTAATGGTATTCACCAATTTAATTTGAATAAACTTTACCAGTAATACGCAAGAAATCGGTATACGCGTACAAAACTAATACAGTGAAACGTAATAAGGGCTTTCACGAAAACTCGTAAATGCTACATTAACTTCGTATACATATATATTGCATAAATTTAATCCTTATATTAATTTATCACTCAACTTATTGATATATATTGGATAATTATAATAAATAATTAGTATTTCCATATAATGTTTACTTTACAGATGATGACTTTAGACTAAAATATAAATATCGATCAAATAAAAATTAATGTAAAATAAATTGTGACTTCTTTTTCTTAATTTTTATTTAACTTTAAAAAAAATTTAATCATTTAGCTTGAAAAAAGCACTTATTAAATTCATTTGGTCACAAAATAATTAATATATAATTTTAATTCTGCCTCTACACTGGTACGGCTTATGACAAGATTTTTAAACACAGTCTCACGTTTTCACTAACACATAAAAAATTTTCTTTGCAAACATTATTCGAAAATAATACGTATTTGTATTCGAACATAAAAATCGTACTAACGTCTAGCCAGTGTAAACGCTCAGTTAGTAACGAGTAAGTTTTGCCACCACCATTAATTTATTACTCTGTTAAAATGTTTAGATTTCCAAGTGTTATGCCCAGAAATATTGAATTTTCTAATAAGAATCAACTTAATCTTATTAAAACTAATTTAGTAAACTGCTATATAACTTTGAGAAAATTTATTTTCTAGTATATAATTTCTTGGCATAATCCCCTAACTCTTATTATAATTAAAGTAGTGAACTGTAAAAAAACTTCGACAAAAACATATGTTTTATAAATTTTGGTATATTCTGTCTACTTCTCCCATGGAACTTCTCGTCGGTCGTCGGTCGTACACTAATCACCTTGTCTATGTACGAACCAACGCTATTCCTGTGGTACTACAACGGGCCATTATTTAAGCTCGACTGGGCTTTCTTGGTACACAAGTCCGCCACTTTAAACTAACCTAACCTAACCCATGGCACAGTCCTGGCTACACAATTGCATTGTCTATTTGGTAGATAATAACTCGTATTATAATAAAGTAGTCGAATGTAAAAAAACTTCGATAAAAATATATTTTTTATATTTTTTGGTATATTCTGTCTAGTTCTCTCAGGGCACAATCCTGGCTACACAACTGCATTGTCTATTTGGTAGATAAGTTTTTAGGCTGGCAATTTTCTCTCATAAATATTGTAAAAGTTGTAAAGATGTCGATTAGTGGTCAACATTCTATCTGCAACTGGACAGTTCTAGACAGAGCGGAATAAACTTCTTAGACAATTATGTGTTTAATTCATTCAGAGAAGTGTCCATCTCTTATATTAAAAATATCTTAAGTTTTTTTAGACAAACCAAAATTGGTCCATAATACAGGCCATATATTAAGTAGTAGTATGACAAAAGAAGACTATTGGATCTAAGTGAGTTGATTATACATTAACCTAATTTTAACCTACATCAATATTTTGCTTCTTTATTCGTGTCAAGTTGTTTAATTTAATATAATAAAAAATAATAATTTTTTTATTTCTCATAATAATATTAGGCTATGTATGTTATAAAATATTTAATTAACAATTTATATAAAATAATTTAATTAGAATGATGGCAGTAGGTCCAAATTGTCCGTACAAATAAACTTGTCCCACACGAACTGAACCTCTTTACTTTCAGATGTATTGCATATTATTTTATTAAGAAAATATTTTAAAATAATTTTATATATACATTAATATTTATTTAGAAATTAACAAATTTTATAAAGTAGGTGAAGTCTTTATATAAATAGTAGAAAAAAAAAAACAATTTAAAATTCCAATTATTCAACATTTAAATATTTTTAATATAATTTTAAAAGTTTAATTCTTAATTTTAAAAGTCTTAATTTTGATTTTTTTATGTGAAATCTTTTTTTTTTTTTTGTGATTATTTGATTTATATGAAAAACACCAATATTAATTATATAATGATTACAAACTACATACAATTATTAAGGACAAGGACGAATGTTCATTTCATTAAAATACAAATATTCCTCTCTAGTATGTCATCACTTTTTTACGTTTAAGAACAATTTAATATTAAATATTTTGAGTTAAAATTTTCAATTTTCAATTATTTATTATTTATTATATATCATATGATTTCTTAAAATATATATGCATTTAGGAGTAAAGAAGTATTGTCTAAAATAGTGTCATAATTGATAAAATGAGCATTTTGAATAATACAATCCAGTTATTTGTGTGTTATTTTGTGTAATCTATGTGTGATGTGGATGCATTCTTTTTTCCATTTCAACTTCAACGCGTGCCTCGTCAATGCTGGAAACTGTTGGAAGGCCACCAGGCCATTGCAAAAGATCACTTTCATGCTCCATAATCATATTGGCTTCAGCTAAAAATAAATAAACAATTTTATTACTATATAATAAGATTTTTTTTCTAATGAAAATAGTGGTAAAGTTCCTACTCATTACTCTTCCAACTTCCGTTATATATGTTTATTTCGTTATACATATATTCTTTTAATGCACTGTTAATGCATTTTCAATTTCGATTAGTAAATCTAGGGCAAAATGTATAACACTCGAGATTAATTTATAACACTCTAGATATTTTGCCAGAGTAGCAAGGTTGCCCTAAATTTAACAGCTATTTTATATAATTTGACAAATATGTAAACAATGTTCGATTGGAGAACAAAATTTGACAGATCGAAAGTAGATTGAATAGCCATAAGTTACCACTATGTTAGTAATATTACTATACTAATTTTATTATACAAAATAACCATCTTTTAATTGTAATTTTAAGCAGAATATTAATGGTATACCTATCAGATATATAATTTATAATATTAATTTTTACGGTGCCGAATTTACCATAAATTAACACACACTATGTTAGTAATTCTTCCATAGAAAATAGTAAACTTGCTATAGGATAATGTTAGACGACTGGTTCTAGTAAAAATATATAGAAATCATCCTATAAAATTATTAAAAAGAGTTATTGTGAATAAAGAGATAAAAATTAATGTAGCCCCATTTTTTTCACCAGGTCCTAATAATTTTTTAAATTCTTTATGAAAAATTAAAAAGATATTACTTCATAAAATATTGTAACGGGAAGGAACTAGTCAATAGTAATTTTATCATATGAAATAGAAAATTTAATAAAATTATAAAAAATTATAACTAATTATAATTAAAGAATTGTTGTGAATAAAGAGATAAAAATTAATGTAGCCCCATTTATTCCAGTAGGTAATAATAATGTTTTAAATTCTTTATGAAGAATTAAAAAGATATATTACTTCATAAAATATTATAACGGGAAGGAACTAGACAATAGTAATTTTATCATATGAAATAGAAAATTTAATAAAATTATAAAAAATTATAACTAATTATAATTAAAGAATTATTGTGAATAAAGAGATAAAAATTAATGTAGCCCCATTTTTTTCACCAGGTCCTAATAATTTTTTAAATTCTTTATGAAAAATTAAAAAGATACTACTTCATAAAATATTATAACGAGAAGGAACTAGTCAATAGTAATTTTATCATAAGAAATATAAAATTTAACAAAATTATAAAAAATTATAACTAATTATAATTAAAGAATTGTTGTGAATAAAGCGATAAAAATTAATGTAGCCCCATTTATTCCAGTAGGTCCTAATTATGTTTATATTCTATATGAAGAATTAAAAAGATATATTACTTCATAAAATATTATAACGGGAAGGAACTAGTCAATAGTAATTTTATCATATGAAATAGAAAATTTAATAAAATTATAAAAAATTATAACTAATTATAAATTAATTAAATTTATAATTATATGGTTATAAATAAATATAAATTTTAATGGTAAATTAACTAACTCATAAATTCTTACCAGGAAAGAAGTACGAGAAAAACAGAAACAGAAAAAGGAATTATTTTTTATATGGTATGATACCTTGTATACGATGCGGTTTGCTGCCGTAACTCATGTCGTAATAATATCCTATTAAGAAAGTCAATGGTACTAATGGCAT